GAGACAACAGATGCTAGAGAGGATATGGAGAAACAGGAACACTTTTACACTGTTGGTGGGAGTGTAAATTAGTTCAACCATTGTGGAAGACAGTGTGGTGATTCCTCAAGGACCTAGAAATAGAAATTCCATTTGACCCAGCAATCCTATTACTGGGTATATGTCCAAAGGATTATAAATCGTTCTGTGATAAAGACACATGCACACGTATGTTCAACACAGCACTGTTTACAATAGCAAAGACCTGGAACCAACCCAAATGCCCATTGATGATAGACTGGACAAGGAAAATGTGGCACATACACACCATGGAATACAGTGCAGCTATAAAAAACGATGAGTTCATGCACTTTGTAGGAACATGGATGAATCTGGAAACCATCATTCTCAGCAAACTGTCACAAGAACAGAAAATCAAACACCGCATGTTCTCACTCATAGGTGGGTGTTGAACAATGAGAACACATGGTCACAGGGAGGGGAGCATCACACACTGGGGTCTGTTGAGGAGGACTAGTGGAGGGATAGTGGGGGCGGGTAGGTAGGTTGGGGAGGGATAACATGGGGAGAAATGCCAGATATAGGTGACGGGGGGATGGAGGCAGAAAACCTCACATTGCCATGTATGTACCTATGTAACAACCTTGGATGATGTGCACATTTACCCCAGGACCTAAAGTACAATAAAAAAAAAATTTAGTTGCTCACACGCAAGTGTATTTTTTTTTTTTTTAATTTAAGTTTTGGGATACATGTGCAGAATGTGAAAGCTTGTTACATAGGTATACATGTGCTATGGTGGTTTGCTGTACCCATCAACCCGTCATCTACATTAGGTACTTCTAATGCTATCCCTCCCTTAGCCCCCCACACCGGACAGGCCCCAGTGTGTGATGTTCCCCTCCCAGTATCCATATATTCTCATTGTTCACCTCCCACTTACGAGTGGTGTTTGATTTTCTGTTCTTTGTTACTTTTGTGAGAATGATGGTTTCCAGCTTTTTTCATGTCCTTGCAAAGGGAATGAGCTCATCCTTTTTATGGCTGCATAGCATTCCATGGTGTACATACGGCACATTTTCTTTATCCAGTCTGTCATTAGTGGGCATTTGGGTTGGTTCCAACTCTTTGCTATTGTGAACATTGCTGCAGTAAACATACGTGTGCATGTGTCTTTATAGTAGAATGATTTATAATCCTTTGGGTATATACCTAGGAATGTGATTGCTGGATCAAATGGTATTTCTGGTTTTATATTTCTCTAATGACCAGTGATGATGAGCTTTTTTTCATGTTTGTTGGCCACATAAAGGTCTTCTTTTGGGCCGGGCATGGTGGTTCATGCCTATAATCCCAGCACTTTGGGAGGCCGAGGCAGGCAGATCACAAGATCAGGAGTTCGAGACCAGCCTGGCCAATATAGTGAAACCCCATCTCTTAAAAAAAAAAAAAAAAAAAAAATTAAAAAAAAGTTGTCTTTTGAGAAGTGTCTGTTCATATCCTTTGCCCACTTTTTGAAGGGGTTGTTTCTCTTTCATGTAAATTTGTTTAAGTTCCTTGTAGATTCTGAATATGAGCCCTTTATCAGATGGAGAGATTGCAAAAATTTTCTCCCATTTTGTAGGTTCACTCTTGTGATTAGTTTCTTTTGCTATGCAGAAGCTCTTTTTTTTTTTTTTTCTTCTGGAGACAGAGTTTCACTCTTGTTGCCCAGGCTGAAGTGCAATGGCATGAGCTTGGCTTACCACAACCTCCGCCTCCTGGATTCAAGTGATTTTCCTGCCTCAGCCTCCCCAGTAGCTGGGATTACAGGCATGTGCCACCACACTTGGCTCATTTTGTATTTTTAGTAAAGATGGGTTTCTCCCTGTTGGTCAGGCTGGTCTCAAACTCCCGACCTCAGGTGATCCACCTGCCTCGGCCTCCCAAAGTGCTGGGATTACAAGCGTCAGCCACCACACCTGGCCCAGCTCCTTAGTTAATCAGATCCCATTTGTCAATTTTGTCTTTTGTTGCCATTGCTTTTGGTGGTTTAGTCAAGAAGTCTTTGCCCATGCCTATGTCCTGAATGGTATTGCCTAGGTTTTCTGCTAGGGTTTTTATGGTTTTAGGTCTTGTATTTAAGTCTTTAATCCATCTTAAGTTAATTTTTGTATAAGGTGTAAGGAAGGGGCCCAGTTTCAGCTTTCTGCATTTGGCTAGCCAGTTTTCCCAACACCATTTATTAAATAGGGAATCATTTCCCCATTGCTTGTTTTTGTCTGGTTGTCAAAAGTCAGATGGTTGTAGATATGTGGTATTATTTCTGAGGCCTGTGTTCTGTACCATTGGTCTATATATCCGTTTTGGCACCAGTACCATGCGGTTTTGGTTACTGTAGCCTTGTAGTATAGTTTGAAGTCAGGTAGTGTGACGCCTCCAGCTTTGTTCTTTTTGCTTAGGATTGTCTTGGGGTATATGGGCACTTTTTTGGTTCCACATGAAATTTAAAGTAATTTTTCTAATTCTGTGAAGAAAGTCGATGGTAGCTTGATTGGGTAGCATTGAATCTACAAATTACTTTTCGCAGTGTGGCCATTTTCATGGTACTGATTCTTCCTGTCCATGAGTGCACAATGTTTTTCCATTTGTTTTTGTCCTTCCTTATTTCCTTGAGCAGTGGTTTGTAGTTCTCCTTGAAGACGTCCTTCACATCCCTTAGGAGTTGTATTCCTAAGTATTTTATTCTCTTTGTAGCAATTGTGAATAGGAATTCATTCATGATTTGGCTGTCTGTCTATTATTGGTGAATGAGAATGCATGTGGTTTTTGCACATTGATTGTGTATCCTGAGACTTTGCTGAAGTTGCTTATTTGCTTATGGAGATTTTGGGCTAAGACGATGGGGTTTTCTAAATATACAATCATGTCATCTGCAAACAGAGACAATTTGACTTTCTTCCTTCCTGTTTGAATACCCATTATTTATTTCTCTTGCCTGATTGCCCTGGCCCGAACTTCCAATGCTATGTTGAACAGGAGTGGTGAGAGAGGGCATCCTTGTGTTATACCAGTTTTCAAAGGGAATGCTTCCAGCTTTTGCCCATGCAGTATTGGCTATGGGTTTGTCATAAATACATCTTGTTATTTTGTGAGATGTTCCATCAATACCTAGTTTATTGAGAGTTTTTAGCATGAATGGGTGTTGAATTTTTTAAAAGGCCTTTCTTGCATCTGTTGAGATAATCATTTGTTTTTTTGCCATTGGTTCTGTTTATGTGATGGATTATTTTTATCAATTTGCGTATGTTGAACCAACCTTGCATCCCAGGGATGAAGCTGACTTGATCTTGGTGGATAAGCTTTTTGATGTGCTGCTGGATTTGGTTTGCCAGTATTTTATTGAGTTTTTTCACATCGATGTTCATCAGGGACATTGGTGTGAAATTTTCTTTTTTTGTTGTGTCTCTGCCAGATTTTGGTACCAGGATGATGATGGCCTCATAAAATGAGTTTGGGAAGAATCCCTCTTTTTCTTTTGTTTGGAATAGTTTCAGAAGGAATGTTACCAGCCCTTCTTTGTACCTCTGGTCGAATTTGGCTGTGAATCCATCTGATCCTTGGCTTTGTTTGATTGGTGGGCCACTAATTACTGCCTCAGTTTCAGAACTTGTTATTTGTCTATTCAGGGATTCGACATCTTCCTTGGTTAGTCTTGGGAGTTTGTATGTGTCCAGTAATTTATCCATTTCTTCTAGATTTTCTAGTTTGTGTAGAGGTGTTTATTGTATTCTCTGATGGTAGTTTGTATTTCTGTGGGATCAGTGGTGATATCCCCTTTATCATTTTTTATTGCATCTATTTGATTATTCTCTCTTTTCTTCTTTGACTGGCTGGCGGTCTATTTATTTTGTTGATCTTTTCAAAAAACCAGCTACTATTGGATTCATTGATATATATTTTTTTTTTTGAAGAGTTTTTCATGTCTCTACCTCCTTCAGTTCTCCTCTGATCTTAGTTATTTCTTGTCTTCTCCTAGCTTTTGGATTTGTTTGCTCTTGCTTCTCTAGTTCTTTTCATTGTGATGTTAGGGTACTGATTTTAGATCTTTCCTGCTTTCTCCTGTGGGCATTTAGTGCTATAAATTTCCCTCTAAACACTGCTTTAGCTGTGTCCCAGAGATTCTGGTACATTGTGTCTTTGTTCTCATTGGTGTCAAATAACTTACTTATTTCTGCCTTAATTTCATTATTTATCCAGTAGTCATTCAGGAGCAGGTTATTCAGTTTCCATGTGGTTGTGCAGTTTTGAGTGAGTTTCTTAATCCTGAGGTCTAATTTGATTGCACTGTGGTCTGAGAGACTGTCTGTTATGATTTCCATTCTTTTACATTTGCTCAGGAGTGTTTTACTCCCAATTATGTGGTCAATTTTAGAATAAGTGTGATGTGGTGCTGAGAAGAATGTATATTCTGTTGATTTGGGGTGGGGAGTTCTGTAGTTATGTGTTAGGTGTGCTTTGTCCAGAGCTGAGTTCAAGTCCTGAATATCCTCGTTAATTTTCTGTCTTGTTGATCTGTGTGATACTGACGGTGGGGTATTTAAGTCTCCTGCTATTATTGTGTGGGAGTCTAAGTCTCTTTGTAGGTCTCTAAGAACTTGCTTTATGAGTCTGGATGCTTCTGTATTGGGTACATATATGTTTATAGTTAGCTCTTCTTGTTGCATTGACCTTTTTACCATTATGTAATGCCCTTCTTTGCTTTTTGATCTTTGTTGTTTTAAAGTCTGTTTTATCAGAGACTAGGATTTCAACTCCTGCTTTTTTTGCTTTCCATGCGCGTGGTAAATCTTCCTTCATGTGTGTCTTGGCACATGAGATGGGTCTCCTTTATATGGCACACTGATGGGTCTTGACTCGTTATCCAGTTTGCCAGTCTGTGTCTCTTAATTGGGACATTTAGGCCATTTACATTTAAGGTTAATATCATTACGTGTGAATTTGATCCTGTCATCATGATGCAGCCGGTTATTTTGCTTGTTGATGCAGTTTCTTCGTAGTGTCAATGGCCCTTACAATTTGGTATGTTTTTTACAGTGGCTGGTTCTGGGTTTTGCTTTCCATATTTAGTGCTTCCTTCAGGTGCTCTTGTAAGGTAGACCCGGTGGTGACAAAATCTGGTTCCGAGTTTTGCTTTCCATATTTAGTGCTTCCTTCAGGTGCTCTTGTAAGGCAGGCCTGGTGGTGACAGAATCTCTCAGCATTTGCTTGTCTGTAAAGAATTTTATTTTTCTTTCACTTACGAAGCTTAGTTTGTCAGGATATTAAATTCTGGTGTGAAAATTCTTTAAGAATGTTGAATATTGGCCTCATTCTCCTCTGACTTGTAAGGTTTCTGCACAGAGATCCGCTGTTAGTCTGATGGGCTTCCCTTTGTGGGTAACTGGACCTTTCTCTCTGGCTGCCCTTAACAATTTTTTCTGCATTTCAACCTTGGTTTATCTGATGATTGTGTGTCTTGGGGTTGCTCTTCTTGAGGAGTATCTTAGTGGTGTTCTCTGTATTTCCTTAATTTGAATGTTGGCCTGTCTTACTAGGTTGGGGAAGTTCTCCTGGATAATATCCTGCAGTGTTTTCCAACTTGGTTCCATTCTCCTCATCACTTTCGGGTACACCAATCAAATGTGGGTTTGGTCTTTTCACATAGTCCCATATTTTTGGAGGGCTGGTTTGTTCCTTTTCATTCTTTTTTCTGTAATCTTGTCCTTATGCTTTATTTCATTACGTTGATCTTCAGTCTCTGATATCCTTTCTTCTGCTTGATGGATTTGGCTGTTGATACTTGTGTATGCTTCATGAAGTTCTTGTGCTGTGTTTTTCAGCTCTATCAGGTCATTTATGTTCTTCTCTAAACTGGTTATTCTATTTAGCAATTTGTTTTACCTTTTTTCAGGGTTCTTTGCTTCCTTGCATTGGGTTAGAACATGCTCCTTTAGCTTGGAGGAGTTTGTTATTACCCACCTTCTGAAGCCTACTGTCAATTTGTGAAACTCATTCTCTGTGCAGTTTTGTTTTCTTGCTGGCATGGAGTTGTGATCCTTTGGAGGAGAAGAGGCATTCTGGTTTTTGGAATTTTCAGCCTTTTTTGGGCTGGTTTTTCCTATCTTCGTGGATTTATCTACCTTTGGTCTTTGATGTTGTTGGCCTTCAGATGGGGTTTTTGTGTGGACGTCTTTTTGTTGATGTTGATGCTATTCCTTTCTGTTTGTTAGTTTCCTTCTAACAGGCCCCCCTGCTGCAGGTCTGCAGGAGTTTCCTGGAGGTTCGCTCCAGACCCTGTTAGCCTGGGTATCACCAGTGGAGGCTGCAGAACAGCAAAGATTGCTGCCTGTTCCTTCTTCTGGAAGCTTTGTCCAGAAGGGCACCCGCCCGATGCCAGCCAGAGCTCTCCTGTATGAGGTGTCTGTCAACTCCTGCTGGGAGTGTCTCCTGGTCAGGAGGCATGGGGATCAGAGACCCACTTGAAGAGGCATTCTGTCCCTTAGTAGAGCTCGAGTGTCATGCTGGGAGATGTGCTGCTCCCTTCAGAGCTGGCAGGCAGGAACATTTAAGTCTGCTGAAGCTGCCCCCACAGCTGTCCCTTCCCTCAGGTGCTGTGTCCCAGGGAGAGGGGAGTTTTATCTATAAGCCCCTGACTGGGGCTGCTGCCTGTCTTTCAGAGATGCCCTACCTAGAGAGCAGGAATCTAGAGAGGCAATCTGGCTATGCAGGCTTCGAGGCGCTGCGGTGGGCTCTGCCCACTTTGAACTTCCCAGCAGTTTTGTTCACACTATGAGGGGAAAACTGCCTACTCAAGCCTCCGTAATGGGAGATGGCTGTCCTCCCACCAAGCTTGAGTGTTCCAGGTTGACTTCAGACTGCTGTGCTGGCAGCAAGAATTTCAAGCCAGTGGATTTTAGCTAGCTGGGCTCCATGGGAGTGGGATCTGCTGAGCTAGACTACTTGGCTCCCTGGCTTCAGCCCCTTTTCCAGGGGAGTGAATGGTCTGTCTCGCTGTTGTTCCAGGCACCACTGGGGTATGAGAAAAACTCCTGCGGCTTGCTCAGTGTCTTCCCAAATGCACCCAGTTTTATGCTTGAAACCCAGGGCCCTGGTGGAGTAGGAACCCGAGGGAATCTCCTGGTCTGCGGGTTGCAAAGACCATGGGAAAAGCTTAGTATCTTGGCCAGAATGCACTCTTCCTCATGGCACAGTTCGTCATGGCTTCCCTTGGCTAGGGGAGGGAGTTCCCCAACTCCTTGTGCTTCGCAGGTGAGGCAACACCCCACCCTGCTTTGGCTCTCTTTCTGTGGGCTGCACCCACTGTGTAACCAGTCCCAATAAGATAAGCTCGGTTCCTGAGTTGGAAATATAGAAATCATCCGCCTTCTGCATTGATCTCGCTGGCAGCTGCAGACCAGAGCTGTTCCTGTTTGGCCATTTTGCCAGCCACCAAATCCATGATTTCTGAGAGTTCATAGAAGTGACACTGATGAAATTTAAACATGTCGCCAGGTTTCAGCAATTCTTACAGCTTCCTTAACTTCCCCTTGACTTCTGCAGTTTTTATTTTCCATTTTCAAAATCTTTTTTTTTTTTTGAGATGGATTTTCGCACTGTTGCCCAGGCTGGAGTGTAGTGGTGTAATCCCGGCTCACTGCAACCTCTGCCTCCTGGGTTCAAGCGTTTCTCCTGCCTCAGCCTCCTGGGTAGCCAGGACTACAGGTGTGTGCCACCACAGCCGGCTGATTTTTGTATTTTTAGTAGAGACAGGGTTTCACCATGTTGGTCAGGCTGGTCTTGAACTCCTGATCTTGTGATCTGCCCACCTCGGCCTCCTGAAGTGCTGGGATTACGCCACCACAGCTGCCCCAAATATAGTTTCTGACCTTCAAGAGGTGTCAGCTTCTCAAAGATAGGAACTCTTTTCATATTTGAATTCTCAGTGCCTGGAATCTAGTCAGTGAATGAGTGAATGCATGAATGTCTCTTGTTGGCCCACCCCCCCACCCCATTTCTGTTTCCTTCTCATTTCTAGCTGGGTTTCAGTAAAACTTAGAGTATTATGTGAAAGGAGAGTCTTACAATTGCTTTGAATTAAAAAGCAAATTAAACTAAAAGCAGCAAGGGAGTAGAATGTATTTATTTTCCTACCAAACAAAAGAAAATTGCTTTTATTTGCATGTACCTCTTGATTTAATTTTGTGCATTCTTGCTATAATTAGACTTTGATAGGAAGGTCTTTTATTGTTCTTCTAGGTAGTTTTATTTTGCTTCCCATATTTTTTTCCCCTTTTCAAATTTTCCTGCTTATGAATTCTCGAGAATTGACACATAGATGCTTGAAACTCATGAGGCACCTAGAAAGGGAATTAGGACAGCTTAGTAACAAAGAAAATGTTTTATTTCTATGGGAAAAAACTGTTTTGCTTTATTAGGTTTGTTTAAATTATAGTATACCAGGAAAGGATGAGCTTAACTGTCTTTATCCCTGACATAATGTATCATAAACCTAGTTTTTCCAATTAGAGGATACCTGTATTTTTGCTTCCCAGTGTACACCCAGTATGCCACCAGAATTATGTGTGTGCCACCTCACCACCCCCAAACCAAACCATACCAAACAATCTGGCTTTTTTTCTGCCAGGCCACTCCTCTATAACCCAGTTCCTTCTTTGCTTACCAGTATATATGTTGACTTAATAAATTGTTTCTGTGAAAGGAATCATACCTTTTTAATCTGCCATTTAAAAAGAAATTTAGTTTATGTAGCTTCCCATAAAGGTAACATGGCAGGCCCTCAATTAGTGTTATGTGAAAATGTAGCATAATGGTTAGACTTTTCCTATGGTAACATCTATATGTTACTGAAATGTGAAAATGTATGCATACAGAAAACACCCTTATCTACCAAGAAAATAAGAAGCTTGTTATCTAAATATTAACTTTTTCCCTTTCTCATCTGTTATTGAGCTAAATCCTTGCCAGAAATCTAGATGGTCAGTAGTTGTCAGTACTTCAGTTGTCTTTTTGGCCTCTACAGACTCCACCAACCCTCTATCTGCTTATATTTAACCAAGTATCATTCACTGTTTTCATTTTGAATTAACAGTCATCTTGTCAAACATCACCTTAGGGGCCCATCTGCAAATCTGCAAATTGTTTATGTAATATGGACCCAGGGTTTTCCATTCAATCTGTACAATTTAGGCAATGGTTTTGTCTTTGTTAGTAATGTTTTTGATATTTTGGGCTTATCTTTCAGTCAGGACTTTGGGAGTGGTGAATTAAAAGATAGATTTAAATTGTGTTTAATTTTGGCTTTGTTTTTGCATTTTTTTTTTTTTTTTGCTTTAATGTTTGATTATACTAATTCTGTAGAAGAAAAACTAAAATCTCTGGATGGAAAAATGCAAATGTATCATAATGAAGTTACTGTGCTGGCCGCAATATTTTTTTTTTTTTTTTTTTTTTTTTTTGAGACAGAGTTTTGCTTTTGTTGCCCAGGCTGGAGTGCAGTGGCACGATCTTCGGCTAATTGCAAACTCCGTCTCCTGGGTTCAAGCAATTCTCCTGCCTCAGCCTCCCGAGTAGCTGGGACTACAGGCGCCCACCACCACACCCAGCTAACTTTTGTCATTGTAGTAGAGATGGGGTTTTGCCATGTTGGCCAGGCTGGTCTCGAACTCCTGACCTCAGGTGATCTGCCCACTTCGGCCTCTCAAAGTACTGGAATTACAGATATGAGGCACCACGCTCGGCCCTGGCTACAATTTTACAATACATACTTATATCAATTTTAGGGGGCTTTGGTTTGATAGATTGAGAAAAGAATTGATTTATAAAAATTGACAAAATTCATGGATGTTAAGTATAATTTAGAGGTTAGAAACAAAATTTAAAAAGGTTAACAGGCTATATTTAAAATCTACATATTTCTGAAAAGTAAGAACAATTTACAGCCATGTGCAAATTAAATTTTTTTCAAATTAGAAACTAAATTGTGACAGCATAATGTTAACCTTTTTGCATTTACTAATTTTTTTTTTAAATTGTAGTTTCAGTCTGATGGAAGCAAACAAGAAGATAAAGAAAAAACGGTAAGAGATTAGAAAAATCCAATAATGTGTCTAATGTTAGTCTTGGTACAGTATTCTACAAGTTTTACTGTCAACAAGCTTTAATTATCTGTATGAGCAATTGTTTTATACTGTAGATGCTGATTATAGCTTTTGGCAGCTTATGCAAAGTTATCTTTTGAGATTAATCTTTCTTTTCCCTGAAGATTAGTATATTGAAAAAGGAAGAGAGATAAAAGTTCCTCATTCCTTTGCTACCCCTTTCCTTAGCCCATTGATGTCTTAGATGGAGAAACATAGATAAGCGTTGTGAAAAGGATGGGTGAGGAATGGGATATTGTGTGTTATGAGGTTAAGAAATGGTAATTTTCCCAAGGCTATCATAAATTTATTGTTGGATTCTATTAATATGGGCCTCTTACTGAAATAACTTTTCCTTTTTTCTTTTAGGAAGTTATCCTTAGCTGTTTGCTTAGCATTACTGACCAGGTACTACTTCCATCTCTTTCTTTGATGGACTGCAATGCTTGTATGTCTGAGGAACTATGGGGAATGTTTAAAACATTTCCATATCAGCATAGGTAAATACATATTATTTTCATTTTTTAAACTGCTAGTAATTCTAGTAGACTAACCTCTAAGTGTTTTAACTTTTCCTAATTCTTCATCTCATCATTTTTTAAGATATCGTCTGTATGGCCAGTGGAAGAATGAAACTTATAACAGTCACCCACTTTTAGTAAAAGTTAAAGCTCAAACAATAGACAGAGCCAAATATATCATGAAGTAAGTTTTAATTTATTTATTTTTCATATTAATCTAATTTATTTCTGGGTCTAATTTACTTTCTTTCTGCTAGCTTCTCTGAGCCTCAGTTTTGAGAAAGCCTCTGTCTTGTGAATGGTATAGCTGATTTATATACTATAGACAGAATGACTATTAATTGTGGTTTTAGCTATATTTGATTACCAAGTTTTCATAGTTGTCATGTTTGCATATGGATAAAAATCTAATGAAAATCCCTTTTAATGCATGCATCATATTATAGGATAAGAGTTTTGTGTTTTTTTTCTTTTTAAGGACAGCCTGCTGTGGCCTTTGCTCAATATGTTTAGTGATTTGTGCAAGGTAGTCAAAGTTCTAGCAATTTCTTCTGCTGAAAGTTACCATAATAATTTTTTTAGTCTGTTAGGAAGAACTAATGAAATGATGCAGAATTATCTCCATAGGGAGTCAACTTTTGAGAAATTTCTTTTTAAAAAATACTGTATGCTTTTATTTTCATATCATTAAAAATATGAGTGATGTTCTACTTCCCAGTAGATTATTTGAAGTTTAATTATGAAAATCATATACTTCAGATTAGTATCAGTTTAGATGCTTAATTACACTGCTGTATTGAAAGTGTTTTCAACGAGGGTGATGTCAGTTGCCATTCCTTTTGTAAATTCATAGCAGTGGTATGGTTATTCTAATTAAAAGTGTTCGATTTCTAGTTTATTTAGATTTAACAGTGCGTAATGTCTGTTAAATGTTGTCTTTGCCCAGTGATAATGTTTCTGGTCACAGTCTACTGGGAAAACAGATGTGTGCATGATTACAATCTAGTTTTTTTTTTTCTCCTGTGAGCCTATGGATTATATTAAAACAATCTAGTTTAATAGGTGCTGTTACATAGCATGAATAAAGTGCTATGGGAGGATAGATGAGAGTAAATGATTTTAGTTGGGGGAGTTTTGGCAGGAGATGATATTAGATATGAAAGAGTTTCTGGACTTAAGAGTTCTCCAGGTACAGTTTCTAGCTTAACAACAGTTAATATTTAGGGAGCTATTACTATATGTGCCAAGTATTAAACTAAGTGCTCTACATGGATTGTTTGATATTATATTTAAGCATTATTGAATCCCTTGAATCTGTCTCATCTACTGTCTCTACCACCACTATCTTAGTTCTTTTATCTGGTGTATTACAGTGATTTGTGTATTCTCTTACTAAAAATCATTTCATGACTGACTTTACCTGAAGGTTTATGTTAAGCTTTATGGCATAGTGATATATAAGAGGTCCTCCCTGATTTGTCCCTCCCTGCATCTAACCTCCTTTCCTGCCAATTCTGCTTCCAGATGTACTGAGTCTACTTATGTTTCCCTGACTGTACTACTGTTTCCTTAGCTTCTCTTCCCTTGTATGTACTTTTTGTTTCCTCTGTTTGTACAGGTTTTCCCTTACCTTCCTTTCCCCCTTTCCATCTGGTGACCTCATTCTTGGAGAGTGAGCTCCAGTGTTACTTCCAGTGAAGGCTTCCCTAGCATATACTGCCAAACACAATGGATCTTTATTTCTACCACTATTCTTTGTGCATATAATGTTATCATACCTGTAGGTACATTGCTACATTTCTATGATTATTTTTCTTTTTTTAGCTATCTAAAATTTTAATTAGTTTATATGTTTACATGGTTTAAATTTCAGTAAATAAGGTATACAATACATACAGCAGAAAGTCTCACCCCATCCTACATCTACTCAGTTCTTCCCCCACCCCGTAAAAAGTAACCACTATTTAGTCTCTTATATATCCTTCCAGCTATTTTTATGTATATATGTCAATACAAATGTATTATCATCATCTTCTTCTTCTTCTTCTTTCTTCTTTCTTCTTTCTTTCTTCTTTCATTTTAATATTGCTTTTTCCTTGTAAAGATGGGACCTCACTATGTTGCCCAGGCTGGTTTCAAACTCCTGGCCTCAAGTTATCCTTCCACCTTGATCTCCCAGTGTTTGGGTTACAGATATGAGCCACTACACCCCAGCCACCTTTTATTTATTTATTTTTGTTTGTTTGTTTGTTTATTTATTTATTTTAGAGATGTAGTCTCGCTTTGTCACCCAGGCTGGAGTCTAGTGGCACGACCTTGGCTTACTGCAACCTCCGCCTCCTGGATTCAAGCAGTTCTCTGCCTTAGCCTCCCAAGTAGCTGGGACTACAGGTGCCCGCTACCATGCCTGGGTAATTTTTGTATTTTTGGTAGAGATGGAGTTTCATCATCTTGGCCAGGCTGGTCTTGAACTCCTGACCTTGTGATCCACCCGCCTTGGCCTCCTAAAGTGCTGGGATTATAGGCGTGAGCCACTGTGATGGCTAGCCACCTTTTATATTATAAATAGCATATAAGTACTGTTCTGTTGATTGCTCTTTTTGTTTAAGAATGTTGAAATTTAATAAATGATTTTAAATCTGTTTCCATCGCTGGACCAGGCTTGAGAGCAGGAACTGTTATTCATCCTTGTATTTCTCTTTTTTTTTCTTTTTCTTTCTTTCTTTTTTTTTTGAGATGGAGTCTTGAGTTGTCACCCGGGCTGGAGTGCAGTGGTGCGATCTCAGCTCACTGCATCCTCTACCTCCCAGGTTCAAGCAATTCTCCTGCCTCAGCCTCCCGAGTAGCTGGGATTAAGGGTTTCACCATTTTGGCCAGGTTGGTCTCGAACTCCTGACCTCGTTATTTGCCTGCTTCGGCCTCCCAAAGTGCTGGGATTATAGGCATGAGCCACTGCACCCAGCCTCATCCTTATATTTCCATACTTGACCTTAGCCAAAAGACTGAGACACAATCGTCCTTGTGTTTCTAATGCTTAGTACTTGGACTGTCATCGTAGGCATTAATATGAATGAATGAATAAACATATAATTTACTATAGAATAATATGTGCAGAATTTTTAATACATTTGGATTTTTGTTATATTTGTAAGCTATAACTATTTTACCAGGCTTAAACAACACGATTTTGTTACTGTTCGAAGTTTTTAGATTGAGCATATAATGTATTAATTTATTACTTGCAGGATTTCATGAGTTTTGAATACTATTTAAAACATGAGCTTGCTATAGGGCATTTAATAATTCTTTCTACAAATGTTTATTGTGTTCCGTATGCCAGACATTGGTAGCTTGAGGAGAAGACAAAGACAAGAAAACATTTCTTTCTTTTTTTTTTGTTTGTTTGTCCCTCCAGGGGATGGAGGCAGAAGGGAATGGAATAAAAAACAGAGAGGAGGGGTTGGCCTTGGCAAGTAGAGGGTAGGGAACTGAAATATTGGGGTTAGAAATAGGGACAGGTAGTGGTAAGTTGCAAGTTTGAACAAAATACTGAATAGCCAACGTTTAATGGTCTCTCTTTCTGTGAAACAGAAGAAACTGGGATATGGAGAATTGGAAAGAGAAACAGTTGATGATGAAATAATTTTGATTGATGGGGCCAATTTTGTCATAAGAAATTAATTATAGCAAGTTTGTCACTTGGAGAATGGTCACATTTCCTGAATTATAAACTGAATTCATAATTTACTTCATTATATTTTCATCCTAGAAAGCTTCCTTACTGTCACTTGTAGCCTTTTCAAGTCTCTGCATTTATTATGTAATAATCTCATCACAGGCATTTGAGATTCTGTGTAATAATTGTTTTGAACTGTAAGAATTCATAGATATAAATTTGAATAACGAGCAAAGGAAGAAATAAAGGAGTAGAATTTAGCTTCAAAATAATTGTTTACCTTGACTATGAAAAGCAGATAACTTTACATATTGAGGAATGCAGCATGAGCTATTACTCTGTTCAAGTCACTGAGCCAGATGGCATGAAGCATTTCATTGCATGACACCAAATTTAATCTCTTAATCCCTAAACTGATAAATGAGTCCTCCTAAAACTGAAATAATTTTGATTATTTGTAAGAAGAGTTTTATATACTTATAGAGTACATTAAGAGTTTTACTGATTATTTTACTGATTATTAGACTATTACTATAAAGCTGAAATGTGTATTTTGTAAATGTTAATCATTTAATATAAAGTCTCAATACTATCTGGGAGAATCCCTAACCAAAATAGCCCAAATCCTGCCATAAAGGATACGATGAATGTGGTCGTTTACGTGAATCCATTTTGAATATTTGGGGAATAACTGGTTTTCCCCCCACTATGATGTAACAAAGCTATCCACATTACAAGGAATGTTACTTAAGATGATCTCTGCCACCTTTTTCTTCCTCTGTAGGCGCCTAACCAAGGAAAATGTGAAGCCTTCTGGAAGACAAATTGGGAAGCTGAGCCACAGCAATCCAACCATTTTGTTTGATTATGTATGTTTTGAGGTTAATATTATTTTAAGGGATTTTTCTTTTTGTTGCCTTTAAATCAGTGCAAGTGGAAGTTAGAAAATGAAATATTGTAAGGTTACGCTAAAAAGAAAAGTATTATACAATGTATTTAACACATTGATCTATTTTTCTGTTAATAGTAATATGTAACAGTGTTAATATTATAGACAATATAATGTTATTTTGTATACCACATTTTGATTTCTAGAAGTGTTACTTGTTGAATTTAGTTTTTAGAAACATTCAAATAACATTTCATTGTGATTGATACTTAATACTAGTACTTCAATATTTAGACATATCTTTTTTTCCACAACTTTAATTCCATCTTTTGTTTTTTGAGATGAAATCTCGCTCTTGTCACCCAGGCTGGAGTGCAGTGGCATGATCTCGGCTCACCACAACCTGCACCTCCTGGGTTCAAGCAATTCTCCCGCCTCAGCCTCCTCAGTAGTTGGGATTATAGTTGTGTGCCACTGCACACAGCTATTTTTTTTGTATTTTTCCTAGAGATGAGATTTCACCATGTTGGCCAGGCTGGTCTTGAACTCCTGACCTTGGGTAATCTGTCTGCTTTGGCCTTCTAAAGTGCTAGAATTATAGGCATGAGCCACCATGCCTTGCCAATATTTAGAGATTTCTAAAACACATGAGAGAGACTACACTCTTTCATTCCAAAATTGAGCTTTGGACCAACTGGAATGATTTCCTTTTTAAATTTTTTTTTTAAGCTTCAGGGCGTACATGTGCAGGTTTATTACATGTATATATTGCATAATGCTGGGGTTGGGACTTCTATTGAACCCTTCACCCAAATAGTGAGCATAGTACCCAATAGGTAGTTTTCAAACCTTGCCCCACCGCCCCCCCTTACTTTTAGAGTCCCCAGTGTCTTTCTGTCTTTATGTGCCTGCAAACCCATAGTAAAGTTTCAGGATACAAAATTAACATACAAAAATCAGTAACATTCTATACACCAAATAATGTTCAAGTTGAAAACCAAATCAAGAGCACAATTCCATTTACAATAGCCACAAAAAAAGTACCAGGAGATACATCTAACCAAGGAAGTGAAAGATTTCTACTAGAACTATAAAACACTGATGATAGAAATCATAGTGATACAAGCAAATGGAAAGACATTTCATGCTCTTGGATCGGAAGAATCAGTATAGTTAAAATATCCATACTGCCCAAAGGAATCTGCAGATTCATTGCAATTCCAAATTACCAGAATTGGGATTTTTTCCTAACTGAAAAATGTAGCCTAAGAAAATATTCTCTAAGGCAACAACACAATAGTAATTTCTATATAAATATGAAGTGTTAGGAAACCACTTTAATTATAAGCATTATTTCTTTTGAAAAATAAAGTGTAGCCATTACTTAGTTGGTACAGTAGAAATCCTTTGATTAGTTAATGTCTTCTGTTGTTTGTTGCTGTTTTCCAGATCTTGTCACAAATACAGAAGTATGATAACTTAATAACACCTGTAGTAGATTCATTGAAATACCTCACTTCATTGAATTATGATGTTTTGGCCTGTATCCTTTAAAGGGAAGTAATATGTAGATTTCGTATTTAATAGATAATATGGTAAATGCTTTATTTTTGTTCTGTTTTTCTTTAGTCACCATCTGAGGTTGATTCAGATGGCTGATTTGAAGTTTGGTCAGTCAAGTGTGTGTGTGTGTGTGTGTGAGAGAGAGAGAGTGGTGTGTGTGTGTGTGTGTGTCTTTGTGTTGTATAAAGGGAGACATGTTAGGCTCACCAAACTTTTTTTTTTTTTTTTTTTTTTTTGGTGAGACAGAGTTTTGCTCTGTCACTCAGGCTGGAGTGCAGTGGCACGATCTCAGCTCACTGCAACCTCTACCTCCTGGGTTCAAGCGAGTCTCTTGCCTCAGCTTTCCGAGTAGCTGGGATTATAGGCGTGTGCCACCACACTTGGCTAATTTTTGTGTTTTTGTAGAAATGGGGTTTCACCAGGTTGGCCAGGGTCATCTCGAACTCCTGACCTCAAGTGATCCACCCACCTCGGTCTTCCAAAGTGCATGAGCCACTGTACCCAGGTGGCTTACCAGACATCTTGTTATTGATGGAATCTATCTTGATTTCTGAAAGATGGAAAGGAGGTTAAAGAAGAGATGTTGGTACTACAGTGAGGGTATTTTTCAATAATTTGTTTTAGCAACATCCCTGGTCTTTAAAAAAAAAAAAAAAAAAAAAAAAGAACAGTAATTTGTAATGACCAATAGTTTTGCCCTTAAGATGTGGCATATTTATGTTTTAAGGGTCTTTATTAGAGATGTAATGACTTAGTTTTTTTCTTAATATATGAAAGATTGTATCATTGAAGCTTTAGCTAATCCAGAAAAGGAAAGAATGAAACATGATGACACAACCATTTCAAGCTGGCTTCAGAGTAAGTATTTTTATTTTTTGAAAGATGAAATTATTGTCTGTGGTAACTGCCATGTTATGTATTTTATTATCTATGCTTAGAGACTTTTATAAGCCTATTTGTTAAGCGTTGTTGAGAATATCTAGCTACTAAGCTTGTTCTGTAGAGTCCTTGGCTATGTAAGGAGGTTGATATAGTTCTTGTTTATTTTCCTAACTTAAGAGACCGTTATTGACTCTGCTATCAGAGTCAATTTGGGTAAGCATTACTGGGGAGGTAAAATCTCCTTCATTTTATTTTATTTTTTAATTTATTTTATTTTTTTGAGACGAGGTCTCGCTCTGTGGTCCAGGCTGGTGTGCAGTGGTGCAATCTCAGCTCACTGCAGCCTCTGCTTCCCAGGTTCTAGCACCTCTCCTGCCTCAGCCTTCCGAGTAGCTGGGATTACAGGTATGCGTCACCACACCCAGCTAATTTTTGTATTTTCAGTAGAGACGGGGTTTCACTATGTTGGCCAGGCTAGTCTCGAACTTCTGACCTTAGGTGATCTGTCTACCTCGGCCTCCCAAAGTGCTGGGATTACAGGCGTGAGCCACTGCGCCTAGCTGAAAATCTCATTTTTAACTAACATTATTTTATAGAAGTTGATCTTAAGGGAGTTAATCTCATTTCTTCCCATTCCATCCTGAGGTTCCAGTCATCTTAAAAGAGCAAAAACTTGACTTAGTTTAACCAAAAAAACTAACCATATTTCTTTTTAATTCTTGTACCTTTGGTTTCTAGCAGCCAGTTCCCTTTCTTTCAACTTATTATATCTGATAGCGGAATCTTGCAGTGACTCCCCATTGTCCTTTAAAGTCCGAAATGTTTAATAAGTCATACAAGTAAGTTCTTTTGAAATCAGGTCCTTTTGCACTGTTCTATCCTCATCTTTTCCCTGCTTCCCGATATTCTAGATTTCATTAATGCTGAACTTCTTGTACTTTCCATGACCTTTTGCTCATTATTCACGTGACTTGGAATATCCTTCATGGCCCACTCCATGTTCTGTTTATTCATTAGATTTCAGCTTTGAGGTCACTTCCTCTGGAAAGCTTTTTCTGTTAATGCTCCCACCCACAAGTCTGAATTAGGTGCTTCTCTTTTGTATTCCCATGGAGCCTTTTGCTCATCATAGTTATTTGTCTGCTTTTCCGTATCTTCCATTAGACTCAGCTCCTTGAGGGCAGGACTTGTGTTTTGTCCAATATCATTTAGGTGCTTAGCAAATAGTTGTGGAATAGGCTGCAGAGTACTTGACTTTACTAGAATCTCCTACTCTTGTATTGGCTGGGGTTTCCTCCCTATTCATGGTATGATGAGGACCTTTGGTTAAAATTGGTCTCTTGTCTGCTTCTAGGTCTGGTAATACTTTACTTATTTTCTGGCACCTCCACAACTAGTGGCATGTTCCTAGATAAAAAGAGATTTTTTTTTCTTGACTCACATTCAGGGGGCTGGCGTTCTGTCATTTATTCAAGTTTACTGAGTGATCTGCAAGATTTTGTTATATCTTAGTTTCACAAACTCTGGAATCAGGCTGCAAAGATTTGACTTACTGCTCTACTTCGTACTATGTGACTGTGAGCAAGTTACATGACATATCTGTTCTGAATTTGCCTCATCAATAGGTTATACCAACCTAAGATAATAGTTGCAAGGGTTAAATGAGATAATCATTATAAAGTGCTTGGTACAGTGCTTGACATATATCTATGCTCAGTAAATGTTGGTTATTGTTACTGTTATGGAACTCCATTCAACAGCATCAGCAATACAATTATTCCTACTTCATTTTGTTTTAGAAGTTTAGTTGAAGAACTGATACTTGTGCATTTTGTTTTATGAGTTGTTTTTACTCCTTTTTTATTTCATATAGGTCTGGCTAGTTTCTGTGGTGCAGTTTTTCGTAAATATCCAATTGATCTTGCCGGTCTTCTTCAGTATGTTGCCAATCAGCTAAAGGCGGGTAAAAGGTATTCATAGCAAATTATACTTAATAAAATTCAATAGAGTACTTCTGTTGGTTTGGGGGTATTGAGACTCCTGTTATCCTGAAAGAGTACTTGTTGGTTGTAGGCTCAAGTAGAATAGTTGCTCACCTATTTACATGAAATTCTTTAGTTAAATGATAATACATAGACACCTTTTTTCACGAATAAATGTAATATTTGGCTATATATGTTAACGCACTAAAAAGATACTTTCATTTATTTTGACTGCCTATTAGGCTTTTGAGTAAATGGCTAATGTAATATATTGTGTATCTTCCTATGACAAAACATACTGCATTAGGTCTGTATGCAGTAATTGACCTGTATCACGTTGAGCATCTGGTAGGAACATGTTTATTTGAGGGTGTATATAATACCTTTAAAGCATAATTTTTGAATTTGAGTTTTAGAGATACATAAGACTTCCATACCTTTTGGACAATGTCTTCTTTTCTTTATAAATACTGAAGTTTATTTTATTTTGGGCCAATATCAGTGCTTAGAGTTTGAATTAGTATGTGTGTATGTTAAACCTCATGAGAAGTAGACTGACTCGAATCAAAGAACTTGAAATTGTTTTCAAAAGCTTTCTAGTAGAAAGCAAACAAAAAATTAAAAACTATTTGGTGTTCTAAACAAGTATTACCTAAGTAAGTATCGACAGATTCTTATTTTGGCATAGGGAAAACTTAAAAAAATATTTAAACTTAAAATTGTATTGGCACATCCCTTATGCTCATCTTTCTGCCATTTCTACGTATTTTTATTCTTCTTTGTCTTTAGGCCAGCAGAACATACATTGTTTTTTAATCTGTAACTCAGCTTTCTGTACTGTGAATACAGTGTTTGTGACCATCTAATTGAAACGTAGTTTAAAGGAAAAATAAACTGTTTCATTGGTACTTATATACTAGTTTTCATGAGGGCTTTCTTAAAAAAGAAAAACTAAGGAAAACAAGGCAAGTTGAGAGAACACTTAAGAATCTTAGAAAATGGTTCCTTCATCTGTTAGCTTGTGTCTTGGGTATGTCTAACTTTACGTTTGGAAAAACATCTGTATTTTTTAGGAGAGAATGTTTTTACTTTGTTTAGATTAACTAAAGAAGATCTTAGAGGACATAAGGTATTGTTTCCATTGGTAGTCCTAAACTTTGAAGATTAAAAAACATAACTGTTGGCATATTACTGAAAAATGTGCTTCAGACTGGCCACTAAATTGTCATCTTTGGCTCAGATACCACAACTTAGAACTTCTTTTTTTCCTTCCTTCCCTGCCTCTCTTCCAAGTGTATGTGACCATGCTACATCTTTATCCCTTTTTAGTAAGTGGACTATTTAGAATGGCTCTATACCTTCAAAAACATTTTGGCCGTCCTGTATTGGAGGAGAAAAAAATGCTATGAAGGACTTTATTGGGTCAACCAATAAAATGAAACATGAATGGTTGATTAAAGTATTGTATCAGTGTTAGATTTACTAAAATTGATAACTGCTGTGCTTAGGTAAGAGAATAGCTCTCTTAGGAAATGCAGTCTTAGAAATTTTAGGGGCAAAAGACCATGATGTAAATAATTTTCCCTCAAATGATTAAAAAATTGAGTGTGTGACTATGTATGTAGAGAGGGGCTTCAGAGAGGGAGAGAAAATGCAAATGATCAAGCAGGATTAAAAATGTTACTAGTTGAAGTTGAGGTAAAGGATATATGGGTGAGCTTTGTACTGTTTTTATTTTTCCATCCTATCAGTAAATTTGAAATTATTTCCAAGTAAAAGTTAAAATAAACATACACACCAAGTATTTGACAATATAGTTCTAAGAATGCAGTTCCTTAAAAACTGCTTCAGCCTCTTCCCCCATATTCATATACAAATAATTTAGGGATTCTCAGTGTATTAATTACAGTATATTATTTTTATATTTGAAGTTCTAACTGTAGACTGTTTTTTTTCTTTTTGAATAGTTTTGACCTGCTTATATTGAAAGAAGTGGTGCAAAAAATGGCAGGAATAGAAATTACAGAGGAAATGACAATGGAGCAACTAGAGGCCATGACTGGTGGAGAGCAGCTAAAAGCTGAGGTAAGAATTGCTATTTTTGTTCATCAACTTTTAAAATTCATAATGTATGTGTGATCATAGTAAAGAATCCAAACAATATGTAAGTTAATAAAACCAAATGTCAAAGCCATACATGCCTTCCTTTCACGATCACCCCTACTCCGTTTTAGAAATTGAGATACAGTAATTACTTTAACTTTTAAAAAAAGCTGAAACAAAATATAAAAGTAATGCATCTGTAAGGAAAGTAGTTACCAACTAAGGCCAGGCACGGTGGCTCATGCCCTGTAATCCCAGCACTTTGGGAGGCCGAGGCTGGTGGATCACCTGAGGTCAGGAGTTAGAGACCAACCTGGCCAACATGGCAAAACCCTGTCTCTACTAAAAATTCAAAAAATTAGCTGGGTGTGGTGGCTGGTGCCTGTAATCCCAGCTACTTGGGAGGCTGAGTCAGGAGAATTGCTTGAACCCAGGAGGCGGAGGTTGTAGTGAGCCAAGATTACTCCATTGCCTGGGCAATGAGAGCAAGACTGTGTTCCTCCCCATGACAAAATAATAATAAATAAAATAATTACCAAATAATTACTAAGTCTCCTGTGATCCTTGGTGTCCTCACTCCCTTAAATCTTAGTTGCTCCTTTGAATCTGTGCCACAATGAATAATTTAATAATCCTTTACGAGGGGCTGCAAGGTGGGAAATGGAAAATATGCAAGAATTTAAATCCAGCTGATGTTTGTCTTTAAGCCAGTGACCGTAGTCAGTAATAGTCACTAAAATAAATTTGTGTAAGGGAAGAAATGTGTAATGTAGGAGTTTTTTTATATTAAGGTTTTTAACTCAACTTTTTGCTGTGTCTTTATCAAATTAGACAGCATGGGTTATATACTGTACATTAGTAAATTTGTGTCTTCTCTTGTGCAGGGTGGTTATTTTGGTCAGATCAGAAACACTAAAAAATCCTCTCAGAGATTAAAGGATGCTCTGTTGGACCATGATCTTGCCCTTCCTCTCTGTCTCCTTATGGCTCAGCAGAGGAATGGGGTAATCTTTCAGGAAGGTGGAGAGAAACATTTGAAACTTGTGGGAAAGCTCTATGACCAGGCAAGTTAAAGTGGCTTTTATGTTTATGTACGTTTTTTAAATCCTGTTAAAGGAAGATGTTATAATTTGAAAAATGTCATTTTTGCACATCATGTGAATATGAGACATCCTAATCTAATGTGAAATAGACATTCAGGAAATAGAGCCTATTTCTATGTAAATTATGATATTTAAGAGTTAGCTCCAAGAGATGTTTTATGTAAGACTGTCAATTAATTAAATATTACATCATTAAATTCCTGCAACTTCAAGTTGTTTGCATTTATATCTTTCCTGATGTCTGGAAATCTTAGTCGTAATAGAATAGCTTGTTTGATCACTCGTGCACGCTCTCTCTTTTCTTTTGTCTTTTTTTTTTTTTTTTTTTTTTTTTTGAGGCAAGGCCTTACTCTGTTACTCAGGCTGGAGTGCAGTGCATGATCTCAGCTCACTGCAGCCTTGACCTCCCTGGCTCAAGTGATCAGCCTGCCTCAGCCTCCCGAGTAGCTGAGGACTATAGGCGTGCACCACCTCACCTGGCTAAGTTTTAGATTTTTTTGTAGACTCGGGCTCTGCCATGTTGTGCAGGCTGGGTTGCTATCTCTTTCTTTGTGTTATAGTTGATGATAGTTAAACACATTTTGTGGGCCAATCTTAGGTTTTGGTACTTGATATTTATAAATACATTCTGTAAATAAAGTTTTCTTCTTTTAAGGGCAAAGGAATTGACTTCTGTTTGCCTACGGTTATTATCTTATTTGATTTAGGTAAATATATTCCACTAAAAGTGATGAAATACAGCTTGGCATTTAAGAGACCTAGTTGGCTTGTAAAGCCTTGGGTTAGTCAACCTGTCAGGGCCTTGGCATCTTTTTTGTAATATGATTATGTGATTATATCTGTAGATGGTCTCTAAAGTCTTTTTAAGTCATAAAATTTCAATTCTTAATTGTTAAAATATTCCTAAAATGACTTCTTACTCACTTTGGAAAATATGTTGATTTTGTCTTATTTTTTAAATGTAGTGTCATGATACCCTGGTGCAGTTTGGCGGGTTTTTAGCATCTAATCTGAGCACAGAAGATTATATAAAGCGAGTGCCTTCAATTGATGTACTCTGTAATGAATTTCATACACCCCATGATGCAGCATTTTTCCTGTCTAGGCCAATGTATGCCCATCATATTTCGGTAAGTACAAGTGCCTTTGCTGCCGTTTAAGAATGATCCAAATTACTTCTTAATGGTTTTATCTGTAAATATATTTCACTACATATTTTGGGGGAAGGTCTTGGCCCTTAAACTGGGATCCCTTCTTTGTTTCTGGTAGGGACTCAGAGCTGTGTAGTAGAGGTATACAAAAAAGGTGATGAGAAATTTGGAGTCTAATTGATCATTTAATCAGACATCTGCTGTTAGTGTTTACATATCAACTGCTACAGTTTCCCACTTCTTTTCTAACTGTTACTTGATTTAATTATCACTTTGTTAGCGCTATGCAGAAATTCTTGTGTTATGTATACACTCTGAAGGGGAAAAGGCAATAAGAGAGTGGTGTTAGGCTGCTTCTTCCCCTTCAGATCCTCTCAATCCAGAGAATTGTATGCTGTCTTTGTGTAATGTCTTATTGTTGCCACACCCCATGGTAGATCAGTCTCAGCTATACAAGAGGGTACCTGATTTCTTCAGGTACCTAAGAATTGCTTCATCTTAGGAATTCTGACCTGCCCTCCTGTGCTAAGTGAACACACTAATCAGCATTATGGAACCCTAGAAACAGGAACACCTGGTTGTCTGAGGTTGGCTGAACTTTGCCAGGTCAGAAAATGGAGCAGGCCATTCAAGCTACCGTTTCTCTCTTACTTGTGTAAAATATTGTCTTTGTCTTTTAAGAGATAACAAAAATCTAAACAAAGAAAGGGCATTTCCTTCTCAGACTTGTAAGAAAACAGAAAACTATATGGAAGTGGCTGTATAGCCAAGTCAGAGATAAGTCTTTTATCTATAGGCAACATGCCACTCTCTGGAAAAGGGGTTTCCCAGCAGCCTTGGTTTCACTGGATGGGCATCCAAGCTACCCTGAGGATCCTTGCTTTTGCTTCTTGAGTGAAAGCCTCTGTTGAGGAGCCTTCACTGAGACAATGAAATGTGTATTAGATGACTGCTGTGTCCCCTCTATAAATTGACTATCGGCAGGCTCTCTTGAGGATCATTCAGCCGCATGTTGCTCAGATTTTTTTTTTTTTTTTTTTTTTTTTGAGATGGAGTCTTGCTCTGTCTCCCAGGCTGGAGTGCAGTGATGCAATCTCAGTTCACTGCAGCCTCCACCTCCTAGGTTGAAGCAATTCTCCCACCTCATGTTCCCAGCTAGCTGGGATTACAGGCGCCTGCCACCACACACAGCTGAGTTTTGTATTTTTAGGGGTTTCGCCATGTTGGCCATGCTGGTCTCAAACTCCTGACCTCAGGTGATCCACCTGCCTTGGCCTCCCAAAGTGCTGGCATTACAGGCGTGAACCACTGCATCTGGCCTGCTCAGATTCTTGAGGCGAGATTTTTGAACAATAGAAGTACAGCAATAATTGTGGATATCAGTTCTATTCTGTAAGTCTAGTTTCCTAGGTGATTTGAGATGTAGAACTGTTATGTCTCTTCATGTGACTGAAGATGTGAACTTGAAGTGGGAGTTAAACTGACTTTAGACAAAGACATACTCATCCTGGGTAAATATGAAGTATAGCTATCTTTTCTGACCAAGTCTGTTTTTCTAACTAGATAGTGACTATGGGGTGACTAGCAATAGAAATCACAGATTCAGACCCAGAGGACTGGGGAGATGGGAGCTATCATGTAACCCCCTCATACCTATAAACTAATTTTTAGTTTTAATTGTTGAAGTTGAGGTCCACCTTGAGGCACAGGTCTGAAAGATACACTTTTACCTAGTTCATATTCTAGATCCTGCCCAGAACAGGTAACTAGGCTCTCTTATGCAGATAGCATCAACCCTATTTTATCCTGTTTTGTTAGAACCTTAGCAGAAGTCATTCTGCTCATCTAGATAAATATTACTTGTCTTCAATAAGACCTGTCCTCTAAATAAACTGTTTTCCCAACTGCTGTTCCCTGTGGTTTCTGATGCAATTGGGACTCCTCTCATAACTAATGTTCTCTGTAACTTTGCCACTTATGTGGTCTTAGTAGTTATCAGCATGCTCTCTAAAATGGGGATAACAACATAAATCTTTGGACTTATAAAACAATTGTCAAATTCTCAGGTCCGGTTTGAGAACCCTCCTTGAAGAAAGAGAATGTTGTGTGCTTTTAGTGCAGTGAGCCTGGGAGCGCATAGCAGCACCCAGCGCACTCAGGAAGGAAGAAGGCAGGTAACTGAGCTGTAAGGAGCTGAGACTCTTTTGCCTGTCACAGCGTAGAACTGGAAGCAGAACCTTTGATCATCTTGTTTTCGGTTACGTGTTTAGCACAAATAGAATGATTTAAGTAATACTCTAACATAAAGAAGAAACTAGTTTTAGGACTTCCCTTAGGTTATATTAAGGCTGATAACTAACCTAAACAGAATTTTCTGGGTGAGAGCCATTTCATCCTAAAGGGACTGAAGGACATGAAGCAATAGCAGCAACTGTGTGTGTGTGTGTGTGTGTGTGTGTGTGTGTGTGTGTGTGTGTGTGTAGAGAGAGAGAGAATATATTTGGCATACACATATCTCTGGAGCTCCTCCCATTGTACTAACATTTTTTTCCCCCATACTATTAAGAATATGGCCATCTCTGACTTTTCCCCAAAATTAGGATAAACCAATCAGGTGAAAGAAGCTGCAGCATCAGTTCTCACCTGCTTTAAACTTCAATATACCACAGCTTTTCACAGAAAAATTTATTTGGCTAAGCATTAGGGTAATGATTTGATCCTAATTTGCCTGGGGCTTTCCCAGTTTTAGCACTAAAGTCTTATATCCTCAGAAACCCCTGAATCCCCAGGAAACCCTGACAATTGGTCACCCTACTTAGCAGCCTTAAAACAAATTTCTCATAACTTTTCTTAGTGTTGATCCAGCTTTTTTTTTTTTTTTTTTTTTTTTTTTTCTTTTTTTTGAGACAGTCTCCTTCTGTCACCTAGGCTGGAGTGCAGGGGCGGGATCTTCGCCTCTGGGGCTCAAGTGACCCTCACACTTCAGCCTCCCAAGTAGCTGGAATTACAGGCATGTGCCACCACGCCCAGCTAATTTTTTATATTTTTTGTAGAGATGGGGTTTTGCTATGCTGGCCAGGTTGATCTCAAACTCCTGACCTCAAGTTATCCGCCCACCTCAGCCTCTTGATCCAGCTTTTTAATTGACACATTTTAATAGTTGGTAGGGACTACATGTAGTGATACTACATCCTGTCCTAGTTGGCTGTTACTAGTTGCATTCTTCCTCTTTTCTCATGTTAAGACCTTCTGTTTGTTGGCTTGAATATCTCAAAAGCAGGATTGGAAACCCTGCTTGTTCAATCCCTGATACAGGAGCAAGAGGGTATAGGGTGATATGGATGAGGGGGATATGCATATACCCTATTCACTTTACTCCACAGGTTAGATTAGATAAGAATCCTCTGAAAATCTCCTAGTTAGCACTTAGTACTAAAGATTGGAATAGCTTCCAGGGATGATTTGTCTTAAAATAAATGTTGTTGGGAAGAAACTAGAATTTCTGTAACAGTTTTGAGATTGGTCATCTTTTGATTCTTTAAAAGGGAATATAGATTTTTATACCATGAAAGTCAAAGCTATAAATTATGTTGTGTGTGTATGTATGTATGTATGTATGTATGTATATTTACTTTTTATCTCCAGTCAAAGTATGATGAACTTAAAAAATCAGAAAAGGGAAGTAAACAGCAACATAAAGTTCATAAGTACATAACATCATGTGAGATGGTGATGGCGCCTGTCCATGAAGCAGTGGTCTCCTTACATGTTTCCAAAGTCTGGGATGACATCAGCCCTCAATTCTATGCCACGTTCTGGTCATTGACAATGTATGACCTTGCAGTTCCACACACCAGCTATGAACGAGAAGTCAATAAACTTAAAGTCCAGATGAAAGCAATTGATGACAATCAAGAAATGGTAAGTTTTTGTTCTAGTACTTCAAGTGCAATAACTTTATGGTATTCAGTGTTACCTATATTTTGAAATTGTTTCAGCTCTGGTTCCTTAAAATGGTGGTCTTGTTGCTATATAATATTTTCTTAAATTGGGTTTAATAGTTACTTCTGAGTGGAGGGCCAGGAGGTTGGTGACTAGGTGGAGGTTATGATTAATCAAAAATTATTTGAAGGTCCTTTTCTACTGATGACTGTGCTAATAACTTAAAATGATTCATGTGACTCTAATAGCAAGAGCAGTAGTTCTCAAGAGGAGAGTCCTTTAGGAGAAGATTATTGAAAAGCTGAGTCTTGAGCTGGATAGGCCTTGAAGGTAGATTAGGTTTGGAAATACGGAAGCAAATACGGCGGTCACCATAGGGTTCCAGCAAAGATAGGAAGTAGATTGAGGTTTAGGGAGACCACTTTTACTGATTCACTTTCATGTAGTGAATGTACTTAGTGATACATATGAATAGTTATGATGGGGCCAGATTGTATAGGGCATTGAAAATCAGGGAGAAAAGTAGACGTGGTACAATTGAGAGCTATTTTAGTTTTCTGAGCAGGGGAGTAATAATGGTAAAAAATGGTACTTAAAAAAGATTACTCATGACAGCAGTATGAAAGATGCTTTTGACAGGGGAAAGGACTAGCATTAGGCTAAAGAACAGCTAGGTGGCTTTTTAGGCAATCTATTGTGAGAGCATAGACTGATGGAGGTAGTGGCATTGTACAAGACTTGTAAACAAGTCTTGGTATAAAGGAAAAGGAAGAGTCAAAGATTTCTCTATGCCTGACACTAGCAGTATTAGTGTTGCAAATTTAGCTATTTTGATGGTGTATGAAGCCTCCATGACAGCGTTATAAATGTGTTGAATGAAGATGAAAGTAGCACATTCAAGTGGACCTATATTCATATTGAAGTAATTATAAACTATCAGCCCTTATCTCTGTAAACTTTTCCGTTGAAAGAAGAAGGGTAATGTGCATATGGTTAGAAAAGTATCTAATTTATTCTTTGTAGCCCCCAAATAAAAAGAAAAAAGAGAAGGAGCGCTGTACTGCTCTTCAGGACAAGCTTCTTGAAGAAGAAAAGAAACAGATGGAACATGTACAGAGAGTTCTACAGAGATTGAAACTGGAAAAGGACAACTGGCTTTTAGCAAGTAAGTTGTTGGAATTGTTACATTCCTGATGCTGGTAAATGACAGAAAACAAAACGTTAGTATTTTAGAGGTGTTAAAATGTATTATGTTTGTGTTTCAACTCAGTGTTCCCTATCTTATTCTTTGGTTATTTGTTGATGCAGAATCAACTTCACATTCACTGGAGGAACTGATACATTTTGCTGGTGAAGTTAATTAACTTATAACTGCAATATTGACAGCTTGTCATTCAGCTTTTCTGTATAAAACATATTTTTGGAGAAATCATAGATAGAAAAAATGTCCACAGCATAAAAATGATAGTCTTATCTCAGGCATGAGCTTTGGTTACAAACTATAAATAGTTTGTGGTTTTATAGTGTTCTCTGCACTAAAGGTAATATATTGTCATGTTCAGTGGCTTTGAGGCCCTTGAGGAAGAAGTTTACAACTTAATATATTCTTCCTTTATTTATAGAATCTACCAAAAATGAGACCATCACAAAATTTCTACAGCTGTGTATATTTCCTCGATGTATTTTTTCAGCAATTGATGCTGTTTACTGTGCTCGTTTTGTTGAATTGGTACATCAACAGAAAACTCCAAATTTTTCCACACTTCTTTGCTATGATCGAGTAAGTTCTCCTTATTGCGACCTTAAAAAAATTCTCACACAAAGATAGCTAACATTATTATCTATAGAGATATTATTGTGTGTGTGGTTAAAAAGCATGAACTCAAGAGCCAAGTGTCTAAACTTGAATCCTAGCTTTACTATTTTCTAGCTGTATGATCTTTGCCTAGTCATTTAACCTCTCTGTGACTGTTTTCTTATCTGTAAAGCATAAATAACCTGCTTCATAAGATTGTTGTGAGGATTAAATGAATTACTACACATAAAAAGCACCTGATATGTAATAGGCACTCAAGGTTAAACTATTAACTGTTTGAGTTTACATGTATTATCATAATTGGTAGAACTCTTTATTCTTAACCTTCAGTTCTTAAAAAAAAAAATTTACACCTTCACACACACATAAAAGCAGGGAAGCTTTTCAATATGGTCATATTCACATTTTGCGTTTAGCTTTTTTCTTATATTAGTACATTTTGTGGTTTAAAAACATAATGTATGTTCCGGCATGTCAGTTGCCTATTTCTAATTTATATCTGCATTTCCTCTGTTTACTCTCCCCGTAAACCCAGTCATATGTGTGGCTAAGTCATTAAGAAACTATTATATAATAATAATGATAGTTTTTTTTTCTGTCAAATCAGCTTTCTTTATAAAAATTATTGTTTTGGGTGTTTGCTTTATGAATGCACTATTTCCCCACAAAAGCCAAAATCTCCAAAGGTCTCTGGAGTGTCAGTATATAAAGGGAATATACATTTTTGACGAAGCTTACCTGTTTATTATGACTTGCTATAAGAGAATTTTCTAATGTTTTCAACTGATTTTGACCTTGATTTGTTTATATTTTTAAAACATTTTTTCCTGTAGGTTTTCTCTGACATAATTTACACAGTTGCAAGCTGTACTGAAAATGAAGCCAGTCGATATGGAAGGTTTCTTTGCTGCATGTTAGAGACTGTGACCAGGTGGCATAGCGATAGAGCCACATATGAAAAGGTATCACTAATAGAAACCCTTATATTTTACCTGTGTATATAATGACCACATCCAGTAATGTCTAGATTGTTGAGTTTTACAAGAGGAGCTGAGTTTAAGATTCAGTTGTAAAACCATGTTTATAAGCACAATTAATTCATTATTAAAAAGTGCTGTATACTTTTTTATTCTATCTCAAACTGACATTCCAAAGTAATATCTTTATATAAGTTGAACTTTTTATGACATGATGGTTTTATGTGGAAACATTGATCTAGTCTACTTAAGTTTCAGTTTCTGCTATTTTGTGGATCACAATTTTTCTTTAAACGTGACAAACATTGTTTCCTTAGGAATGTGGAAACTATCCAGGATTCCTTACCATATTGCGGGCAACTGGATTTGATGGTGGAAATAAGGCTGATCAATTAGACTATGAAAATTTTCGACATGTTGTACATAAATGGCATTATAAACTAACCAAGGTAAAAAAAAATTGAAATTTTCAAAGGTAAATTTTTCTCTTTATACTTGCATAATAATGAATCTTAAAATGTTTGTTGTAGGCATCGGTACATTGCCTTGAAACAGGCGAATATACTCACATCCGGAATATCTTGATTGTGCTAACAAAAATACTTCCTTGGTACCCAAAAGTTTTGAATCTGGGTCAAGCTTTGGAAAGAAGAGTACACAAAATCTGCCAAGAAGAAAAAGAGAAGAGGCCAGATCTATATGCATTGGCTATGGGGTAACAAAATTATATTTTAATGTGATTTACAAGACTAGATGACAGAAGGATTCTGAAGACTTTAAAATGTTTTACAGTGTTGAAGTTTATCTTCTGCCTTCAGGAGATTATGGGAGATTATGCGATCATGTTCCCACAGGCTGGTGAGAGTTACCACTTCTGATTATCAACTTCCGGTCTATACTGGATGATAGTTTCAAAATTCATATATAATATTTCTTGATTGGGAGGAAATATAATTTTATCATCATAGTTACCAGATCTTCAAGAATAAAAGAAAAAAGCCATCTTAGTTTTAGTATTAGTTTATAGTGAAATTGTTATTTTTAAGAGAGTTGGGCATTCTATAAAAACCTTTAAGAACTTACTAAAAATTAGTATTTTTTTAATTCTCTAGAACCACAGGGTAGAATGAATAACTTGCTAATTTTATTCTTAAAAACCTCATGTTTGTGTTTTTTGATTTGTGTTTGTATATTTAAACACTTTGTGCGACTTTCAGCTACTCTGGGCAGTTGAAAAGTAGAAAGTCATACATGATACCTGAAAATGAGTTTCATCACAAAGACCCCCCTCCGAGGAATGCAGTTGCCAGTGTGCAAAATGGGCCTGGTGGTGGGCCTTCTTCATCATCAGTAGGAAGTACATCTAAATCGGATGAAAGCAGTACTGAGGAGACTGGTATGCTTACTTGTAGAAGCTTATAAGTAATATATTTTATTTCAACAAAGTGAAATGTTTTGTATCACAGAACAAGTACAGTGCTGACTTAGTATTACTTTTTATTCCCTAGATAGGAGTATATAAGTGTTAAGAAGTAATCAGCCTGCTGCTTCTTTCTAATTATTCTCTAATCATTTTGCTGTGAAATTGTAGTTTATTTACATCTAGGGGCTTGTTAAATAAAACCTTACTTTTATTTCAGATAAATCAAGGGAGAGATCTCAGTGTGGTGTGAAAGCTGTTAATAAAGCTTCTAGTACCACACCTAAAGGGAATTCAAGCAATGGAAATAGTGGCTCTAACAGGTAGGAACACTGTGCCATGTGTCATAATTCTAAATTCTTTTTTAAAATGATTTTTATGTATTTTTTTTTGAGACGGGGGTCTTGCTATGTTGCCTAGGCTTATCTCGAACTTCTGGCCTCAAGCAATCTGCCTGCCTTGCCTTTCTACACTGCTGGGATTAGAGGCATGAGCCACTGCGCCTGGCCCTCATAATTCTGATTTCTTATGTGGATCCTCATGAGTAGAAGGGGAGTGGTTGTTGAGTAATGTGAAAAGTTATTTATGTTGGCCTTTGAAATTTTCTTTTTACCCTATTTACTGATATGCTTTACATCCTAATTATGTTTTATATCATTATGCTTTGTATAACAACTTTGTTTCTCCTGCTGGGTTATGCAGGGGAATGTAGATGTGAAGTTAAAAAAATATTTTAGGATAGAGTGATTGCTGTGAGCAATTTGAGTAAGGACAGACATAAGAAAAGCCTACACTAATTTAAGTAGTACTCCATCCAGCTAAATAATCTGTTTCCTGATAGTATTTCCCTTGCTTGGTTTGTGAGGTATATATTGGATTTTACCATGTTATTCTGATAGATTATGAATATATGCCAAAAAAGAGCCTGACATTATTTTAATAATAATTTTCTTTTTTTTTTTTGAGGCAGAGTCTCTTTCAGTCACCTAGGCTGGAGTGCAGTGGCATGATCTTGGTTCACTACTGCAGCCTCCGTCTCCTGGGTTCAAGCGATTCTTGTGCCTCAGCCTCTCCGGTAGCTGGGATTACAAGCTACAAGCATGCGCTACCACACCTGGCTAATTTTTTGTGTGTTTTTAGTAGAGATAGGGTTTCGCCATGTTGACCAGGCTGGTTTCAGACTCCTGGCCTCATGTGATCTGCCAGCCTTGGCTTCCTAAAGTGCTGGGCGTGAGCCACCGTGCCTGGCTAATAATTCTTCTTAATCTGCAATTCATGAATTTGTTTAGTATTTACTGGATAAAGAAATAGTTCCTTTTCTGTTTGTTTGTTTGGTTTTTTTTGTTTGTTTTTTTGGTTTTTTTTGAGACGGAGTCTTGTTCTGTCACCCAGGATGGAGTACAGTGGCATGATCTTGGTTCGCTGCAACCTCTGCCTCCCAGGTTCAAGAGATTTTCGTGCCTCAGCCTCCAGAGTAGCTGGGATTACAGGTGTGTGCTACCATGCCCAGCTAAGTTTTTTCTATTTTTAGTAGAGACGGGGTTTTACCATGTTGGCCAGGCTGGTCTCAAACTCCTGACCTCAAGTGATCCACCCTCCTCGGCCTCCCAAAGTTCTGGGATTACAGGCGTGAGCCACTGCACCTGGCCATTGTTTCTTCCTTTTTACTTGTCTTAAAGTTGTCCTTTAGTTTTCAAAGGACACCACCTTAGTTCTAGTATTTTTGAAGTTAGTAAGAAACCCTTTATGATATATTTTATCATATATCAGACGGGATATATTTTTTGATTATTTGTCTTAAAATCCCATGTTTTTATTTTTAAGCAACAAAGCTGTTAAAGAAAATGACAAAGAAAAAGGGAAAGAGAAGGAAAAAGAGAAAAAAGAAAAGACTCCAGCTACTACTCCAGAGGCCAGGGTACTTGGTAAAGATGGTAAAGAAAAACCAAAGGAGGAGCGGCCAAATAAAGATGAAAAAGCAAGAGAAACCAAGGAAAGAACGCCAAAGTCTGACAAAGAAAAAGAAAAATTCAAGAAGGAAGAAAAAGTTAAAGATGAGAAATTCAAGACCACTGTCCCCAACGCAGAATCAAAATCAAGTCAAGAAAGGGAAAGAGAGAAGGAGCCATCCAGAGAGAGAGATATAGCAAAGGAAATGAAATCAAAGGAAAATGTTAAAGGAGGAGAAAAAACGCCAGTTTCTGGGTCCTTGAAGTCACCTGTTCCCCGATCAGATATTCCAGAGCCTGAAAGGGGCAAGTTTACCATTCTTTCTATATGCTTACCTTTTGTTATTTAAATGTATAGTTGGTTACTGTCCCCTAGTTTTGGTAGGTTACATAGGGATTTTGCTAGGGGAACTTGATTGCCTTACAAGTTGGTGTGGTTTTTTTTTTTTTTTTTTTTTTAAGTGTTTAGAAAACTAAAAATATACCTTATTCTGACTATTTCTTTTTGTCTTAACAGAACAAAAACGCCGCAAAATTGATACTCACCCTTCTCCATCGCATTCCTCCACAGTAAAGGTTAGTATAGCCTGAGGAAGGCAGCGTCCATGTTAGGCTCACCTGTTTGGAATACCAGTGTCCTGACTTCCTTCAAGTCTTATGCCAAGCATTCACTGGAGCCACTGGAGGTTTTATATTGCATTAGAAAATGAATTTTTCTATATTGGTGGACTGATTTTTTTTTCCTATTATTTTTATTATAAAAATGTTCAAACTTCAAGGACTTGGCACTAATTTTGTAGTGTTTCAAAGTGCAAGAGAAATTTTACCCAGAAGTGCCTCAGCTGCTTTACGCAGTCTTTTTTGGAGTGCAATGGTAGCTACAAGCAAACAAATCTTTTCAGCAGAATGAAGCCTATTTTTCAGCATATTGAAGAATATATAGCACTGAAGACTTCCTGGATGATACAGGATAAACAAGTTACCTCTGAATTCAAGCTTCTTGATGAGCATCATACCGATATGTGCCTTCTAAGAAGGAGTCTTGAAAGGAGTTCCATTTTAAAGTCTCCTTGGTGATCAGTTCTCCTGTAGTTGTGTATATTCAGTGAGCATGCAGCTTCTGTTGTATCTTCCCTTGGAGGTTTGTTTATACCCTTATTGGGTTCCCAACAAGTTGAACCTTCCGTTACGATAAAAGCAGATGTGGCATCCAATCCTACCACCCAGCAAAGAGAAACCCCAGGCATTCAACTGCAGCACAAAATCGTGGGTGTAGCCTTCTTGAAGACTCAGGGTAGCCATTCCTTGCTCCACATTTAATTTTAATTCTAAAGTCATCTAATTTCATGGAATCTTTGAATTTGCAGTACGTTGAACTTTTTAAAAACTGTAAGTTACTAATTCTTCATGAAAGCACTGTGGTGGAATATTGTAGTTGATTTCTTTTTCTTTCTTTTTCTTTTAATGCTTTTTTTTTGTGTGTGTAGGAGGTGTGAGATTCACCATGATAGGCACTTTGCAAAAAAAAAAAAAAAAAAAAGTGATTACTCTTATATATTTTGTTTTCTGGTTAATGCAATGCCACTGAGTTTTCCAGCTAAGATTTAAAAAATATGTATATTTATATTAGAGTTAAAAGTAAAATGTGAAACCTCCCAATTAAAGAAGAACTATAAAAAATATAAGGCAATGTTCTTCCACAGTGACCTCCAGTATTTTAAATTTTTTGTGGAGAAAAAAATGTTTTGCTTTCTTAAATCTCTTATCTATAGCTTAAGTAGAGAGAGATGAAAAGTGTGGCATTAACATTTATTTTAAAATTCTGAACAGGGAATGATGTTTATTTCTTACATTGAGTACTTTTAATTTAGTTTTTTAACATTACAATTCCATTACATGGTTTTGTTTTTGTTTTTATTGTTGATATTCATATTGATGATGACATCATGAAATTTATCCTCACAAGAAGTAGCTGGTTTATTTCCAGGTTACAGCCATACTTCCCAAAGTTCCTCTGGGTTCTGAGAACTATGCCAGCTCACCTGTCATCTCCATTCATTTTCTACAGGACAGTCTCATCGAACTCAAGGAATCTTCAGCAAAGGTTTGAGTCTTTTAAAATCATCATGCCTAAGTAAACCAAATGTTCTTTACTTATTTTACTTAATAGATGCCCTCACCCTAGTACATTCAGTAAGCTGAGATCAGTGGGAAAAAGTACTCTGCTTACATTGAATAACCTTCAAAAATATTAAATGTTAAAACTGAAAAAACAGATGACAATGGTCCCTTTTAATGCGATTGTTACAAAATATATGTAATGCACCAACATTTCTATCATCTCTCCTTGCTTGCTGTGCTATACATTCTCCTTTTATGCTTCAAAATCTGGAAGTAAGTTTAACATTCAGGGAAGAGGTTATTGGTTTGTTTTGGGTTTATTTAATTTTTCAAAACAAATCTGCCAGGCTTTCTGACTGTTTTAGACAACCCAAAATACCAAAAAATAAATTCAGTGCATTCACATATCTGTTTTAAAAATGGACCTCATCTCAGTCCGTAAAAATTCTTTATGTATCCTTTGCTGAGGTACCTTTCTGGTAGTTGTAGCACAATATCGGAAGATACAGTTAATGTGAAATAATCATTCCCATGGAGGGGAATACTCAGTGGTTGTGTTTACATGTCAGTATTAATTCTTATCTGTTATTCTACTTTCTTGAGTATTCTAAAAATAGCGTGCAGCTTGTGTATCTTATTACAGAGTTTATTACAGTATTATAGTTGAGTTGTCCATTGTTCATGTTGTTTTGTCTTTGTTATAAAATGTGGTCCTTCGAATTTTCTACTTTGCCTCCTCTTACAAGCTACAAGCAAATGAAATCTGCTTAGCAGAATGGAGCCTATTTTTCAGCATAAATATTGCTTACCATAATTAAAATAGAAATCTGCTGAGCATGATTTCTTTACTGGTGGACCAAATGAAATTTTGAAACAGAGCCAGCTGACATTACTAACTGCTTTTAGATGTGTAGATTTATGATGAAATGTCTGTGGGTATTAGGTAAATAAGCACTAATTTTTAACAGTTTATATTAGTCAGTGTACCTGCATCCTAAAATTGTAGCATTGTTTGTAGAATATACTGTATTAATCAAAAGTCTCAGCTATACTGGGATAACTTCCATTTACTTTTATTTTTTTCTGATTTGAATGGATGTTTTATTTGAAGTAGATATTGGGATTATTCTGAAATATGCTACTGAAGTACAAGCCAAAATAACATATTAGACACATCAGCTTAATATTATTTTTGAAAATTCTAAACATTCAACATGTTTTTGTTTTTTGGTGTTAGCCATAATGTCACAATACTAATGAGAGTTTTCAATACCTAGTAGGAGTTATAAAAATGTTGATATCAGGTTGGAATCATATACTACTGTTTTTTATTACATGGGATTATTATTTAAAATGATGTTCCTATTTAGGTTAGTTTTGGAAAGCTTAATTTATATTTCAATTTTGAAATCTATAGAACCTTCATTTAAAGTAAACTTTTTATTGGCTAACTTAAATATATATTGCAATATAGTAGGTTTTTAAAACCGGTTTTGATTTGTTTGTGTTAGTCTTAACCATCAGTGGGTTGTGTGGGCTATTTCAAATTAATGGGCTAACAGTGTTAACTTGTGAATATTTATTTACTGAAATACTTTGAAGCATTTTGTAACCTGCTGTTTAATTGGATTTTCTAATCGATGATGGTTCCTCACATTTGTGAAAAGGCCTTTTGAAATATGTACTGTCTCATTGCATGCTCATAACAGTGCTGTGAGGTAGACATGGCAGGTGGATAATGTCTTTTTGACAAATGAGAGACCGAAAGTTCTTTAGCTTTCCTAGTTAACACCTTGTTAGTATCAAAACATGAACTAAAATTGAGATTCATTGATTCCTAGCACCACTCATTTCAACAATAGTTGAAAGGGTTTTTGTAGCTCCTTTAGTGTGTTTGCCTTGGTTTTTAAAAATTAATAGCAATTCAAGTCAATCTCTCACATCCCCCCTTTTTAAAAGTGGTGTTTTGTGGGCATTTAGAATTTAATAGATTTATTCCACATGCAACCAGAAAAAATTGAAAATGGCATATACATATGCTTCTAAAAATTATGTGACTCCTACTACTTTTCAGATCCTTAGTATTTAGCATAGTACCTGGCAGTAAGATTAGGTATTCAATAAATATTTGAAATAATCCCTTAAGTCTTTGTACTTTGGTAAAGCATGCAAAGTACTAGTTTGCATAGTAACTGGTGTTGCATTTTTATGTATCTAGAAAGTTTAATAGCATATGAATGCCTTAGAAAAAAATTTCACTGGACTTTGAGTGATCTTCAAAATTGATTATCTATAGCCTCACTGTTTCTGGGGTAGCGTTTTCTAGAGGGTTTGGAAGATTCGCATCTGTTTTCATAATTATCTTATCACTTGTACGTATAAAATTCTCTCCCTGCTTTAGTTTGACTTTTTAGTTGCGCTTTGTATAATTCTCTTTATTATTTATTTGCTATTTTTACTTTCTAATTCATGGTAAAAGCAATACACGGATTTAGCTTTTCAAATGAGATTAGCTAAAAGAAGAAAAAATCTGGCTTAGTATCCAAATCTTTTCTGTCAGTTCACTCTTTGCCCCTAATTTCCAAATAGTGTATTTCTCGTTTTGATCAATTGGGTTTTGATGTAGCAATTTTAAATGCCAGCTACATTTGATAAAGAAAATGTTAAAAAAGTACTTGTTCTAGTAATCAACCTCTCTGTAATTTAAGAGGGCATCAGTAACCACCTCAAGACAGAATTTAGCTTTTAATTTGTTTACCATCTTAAAATGAGGATTTATAACCAAACCCAAGCTTAAAAGTGAGACTCTCTTTATATAATTTGGTGAAGCTTTAATAAAATCAATGGAGCAGTGTTTTCTAAAGCAGATTTTGAAAATCAGTCAGATTCTTTTATGGACCTTAATGATCCCAATGTCAAAAATAAAAGCCAGTCAAGAACAAAACCCAGCAATGCTACGTGCAAATTCATTTAATGAATCCTTAATTTTATTTGGCAAACTTGAGTACTCACTGTGTGTACAAGGTACCAGGAAGTATGTAAAAGTAGAAAGGCACCTTAGCTCTCCTACCATACTGGAAACTATGTTACAGACAAAACTGTGTGACATGAAGTTAGTAGGGAGCACCCGTCATGAAAAAGGTAAATATAAAATGATGGAAAGTGAGTTGCAGGGTTGAGGGATGGTTGAGTGCTAATGACTTTCAGCCATCTTTGAAGGTTAAGTAGGATTGCAGGAAGTTAAGATAAAAACAAACAACCATTCTAGTAATGAGAACTGCTGGAAAGGACAGATGTTAGGGAGCAGTGATAGCCACAGCATAGAATGCATTGGGTTGCTGTATGCATCTAATTCATTAGGCAATGAGAAACTGTATGTTTTATGCAAAAGATTATTATCCGAACTATTCTGAAGAAGGAATTGAATTGGGTACTGAACTAAGAATTTCTGATTGTATATCAGTTGAGCTATGTGACTTCTTATGTCAAGAATGAAGTATTTGAACATTAATGCCAGAAGTAAGTTCTAGAAAAATTTCTTAATTTCTCGCAGTACGAAAAGCAAGTAAGCACAGTTCAAAACTTCATTATTAACAATGGTTGTGTGTGTGTATGTATGGATTTATGATCATAAACCTTTTTTTTTTTTTACTTTTATTGGCAAAAATTAATACTTAGAGAAGTCTTGAGTATTGCAGTAATATATGATTTCCTTTGTCTTAGTCATAAATAATATTAAGATATGAATAAATCTCACAATTAGAAAAATTCTTGAAGTGTCATTTAAGACATAGCCAGCAAGAGCATCTTTTAGACAAGTACTTTTATGACTATTTATCATTCTCTTGCTCTTTGTTATTAATAAGCGTTTTGTCTGTTTTATTTTGTCAACTTTTAAACATTGAAATTTTAAAGAGTCTACTTCTGCATTCTATGGCAGTATTTCTGAGCCAACTGAATTGAAAGTGTTTGGAGTTAAAAAATAAGTGTTTAATTCTCAAACTGATGGTGGTCTTTTTTCATGTATTCCTTTGAATACCAAAGAATTTCTTCATGTAAAAATATTTGAGTTTTGACTCACTATTCTATTTGTTCCTAAGGTAAATCTAGCATTGTGTAGTTATGTAATGAGTTATATTCAGTGTTTTGCTGCATAATACTTTTAATGTTTTAAACATAGGCTTGTAGCACAATTATAAATGCCATTAAGGTTAGGTATCTGATTATTTCCTGACTACTTCCTAAATATTTTATTTTACAGCATAGTTCCATATTTACAACTCACCTAAGAAGAGCTATCTCTCAATTATTTAGTTAGAATATCCTTGATGTTTGGCTGTTTTGCCTATAGCCCTTTTGGCAGAGAAAGAATAGGCAGAGGAGAATATTAGTTCATTATTTTTTAGTCTTTTGAGTTGTTTAATCATCCTTAGCTGACTAGATGGTTTTCTGAGGTATTTAGAACCAGGAAGACAAATTTCACAGTTAATTGTGATTATTTTGATCGAAATTGGAATGCTTTCAGAAGTAGAGAACATGCAGCTTTTATATTTGTAAAAAATAATTTAGGATAATCTTTTCATGGTTCATACCAAGGCAGAAAAGAATTAGTAGCAAAATCATGGCTAGGTTTTATTTTTATACTTTTGCCCGTTGTCATTATTGACTGCCTGTCAGTGGATGGTAAGACTATTTAAAATTTCCTTGATGGTGTAGAGATTTTTTTGTTTTTAACAGAGAAAGTCCAGTTACTATTTTTCATATATGGACTCTTGTAATGGTGGTTATAGGTCTTTACAATAGAGCTATAAGGAATCCTCTAGCTTGTGAATTTACTAATGAGTCTCAGTTGAGGCACAGATGAACTGGAGTTTAAATGGTAATTTTTATGAGGCCAAGAATTGCAACTTTGTATAATATGTGCCATGTCCTTTTATTTTACCTCTTATAATCCGGATAGCTGACCAGTTTTGACTCTGGGTATAATTCCCAATTGTGTTTCATTTAATAAACAAATGATGCCAATGCTGGAAAACTAATAATCTTCAGTAATATTGCCTTAATTTAACAGCTCTACATTAATCATACTCCTCCACCACTGTCCAAGAGTAAGGAGAGAGAAATGGACAAGAAAGATTTGGACAAGTCAAGGGAAAGATCCAGAGAAAGAGAGAAAAAAGATGAAAAGGACAGGAAAGAGCGGAAAAGGGTTTGTAATTTTTTTAAACTAGTTTGGAAAGCTCATTATCATGTATACCAGTGTGTATGTTGCCTTTTAAAAAATACTAGTTTGTTCCATAGTAGTCTGTTAGTTAATGATTTTATTGATATTTTTACCCTGAAGTCTTTGCATCTTCTACATTAATAAGGATCTTCAGCCTAGTAATCTCTACCAGCTCTGCTTGTCTTTCATGCCATTTTATCTAGTGTGTGATACTGCTGCAAATAATATCCTCCATTGCTAGTTATCTGTGCTCTTCTCATATAAAAATAATACATTAAAACAAAACATAAGCCCTTGGTCAATGTAGTTCACAATTCTTGGTTCTAGGATCACTCAAACAATGACCGTGAAGTGCCACCGGACTTAACCAAGAGACGTAAAGAAGAAAATGGAACAAGTAGGTAGACTTATTAATATCTTTGAAGCTATCATCAAAGTGAATTGGAAAAGGCTTTCATGACTTTCTTTTGTAATTTTAGTGGGGGTTTCAAAACATAAAAGTGAAAGTCCATGTGAATCTCCTTATCCAAATGAAAAAGATAAGGAAAAAAATAAGTCAAAATCTTCAGGCAAAGAAAAAGGCAGTGATTCATTTAAATCTGAGAAGATGGATAAAATCTCCTCCGGTGGCAAAAAGGTAAATTAGGAAAATAAAGGAATAATATGCTTTATCTTAAAAAAAAAAATCAACTCTGAAAATTTAGCAAATATTGAATTTTTTTCCTAGTCATATAGTCTTTTGTTCATTATTTAGGGGTGGAAAGAAGAGGTATTGAGGGAGGGCAGGTTATCTATTTGGGGAATTTGAGTCAGTTCATTCCCGGATTACTAGGAGGGTAGAGCTAATATACTTCTGAGATTCCTTTCCCCTCTCCATTCCACTCCCACCTACTTCTGTTGATTGAGTTTCAGCTGTTCTTTGCCTTTTCTTTTTTCTCCACCAACTCTTTGCTTTTAGTTTCTTTTTATTCCTGAAATTAAAATATGGTCACATGTATTCTTTCTGACCATCATAGTGTCATAAAGTCTTGATTGTGATTTGAAACATTTTTGCAACATTTTCTCCTAATAAACTGATTTGTTTGAAACTTGTATTTGATTTAAAAATTAAATATAAGGTACATTCTCTTACGTATTAATGGTTGATATTTAAAATGAATATCATGCATCTGTCATAAAGTAATAAGCCATTACTACAGTATAAATTGTTTACAAAACATTGTTATATATATTGAAAATATATGCCATATATTCATAGTTTATAAAACCACCTTTAGAAAATTATATGAACATTTTAATTCTATGCTTTAAAAGATAGACTGTTCTTTTATGTGTTTTTTAATTGAGATAAAATTCAAATAACATAAAATTAACCATTTTAAAGGTGTACATTTAAGTGACATTGAGTATATTTACAATGTTGTGTAATCGTCTCTATGTAGTTCGAAAACATTTTTATCACCTCCAAGAGAAAACTCTATATCCGTTTAAACAGTCACTCCCATTTCCCTTTCTCCTCAGCCTCTGGGAACGATAAATTTGTTTCTTTGTGGATTTACTTATTCCGAATATTTCATATAAATGAAATAGTACAATAATGTGGCCTTTTGTGTCTGATGTCTTAGCATAATGTTTTTGAAGTTCTTCCATGCTGTAGCATGCGTCATTTACTTCATTTCTTTTTATAGCTAAGTAATATTTTATTATGTGAATATACCATATTTATTTATCCATTTGCCAGTTGATGGACATCTGAGTTGTTTGCACGTTCTGGCTATTGTGAATAGTGCTGCTGTGAACATTTTTGTGCGGCTGTAAATATTTGTTCAAACACCTATTTTTAATCATCTTGGATATATGCCCAAGAATGGAATTTCTGGGTTATATGGTAATTCTATGTTTAACTTTTTGAGGAACGACCAAACTCTTTTCCACAGTGGCTGTACAGTTTACATTTCCACCAACAAAGTGTCAGCGTGCAAATTTCTCTATATCCTTGTCAACACTGGTTATTTTCTGTTTTTGTTTTTTTATTGTAGCCACTCCAGTAAATGTGAAGTGATATCTCATTGTGGTTTTGATTTGCATTTTCTTAATATCTAATGATGTTGACTGTCTTTTCATGTGCTTATTGGCCATTTCAAGAAATCTGTTGAGATGCTTTGACCATTTTTTATTTGGAGGGTTTGTGTTGCTCAGTTGTAAGAGTTCTTTATATATTTTGGATACTAGATCTTTATGAGATATGTTATTTGCAAATATTTTCTCCAGTTCTGTCGGTTGTCTTTTCACTTTCTTGATAGTGTTCTTTGATGCACGAATGTTTTTACTTTTGGTGAAGTTCAGTGTATCTATTGTTTTCCTTTTGTTGCTTATGCTTTTGTTGTCATATTAAGTAAGTTTTTGAAGACAAATTATTGCTGGCGGTTGATGAAAAAGGGTTTTGAGCTGTCTTTTATATTTGATTTTCTCTTCCCCAGCTAATTTTACCATTTCTTATAGGAGTCTAGGCATGATAAAGAAAAGATAGAAAAGAAAGAGAAACGGGACAGTTCAGGAGGAAAGGAAGAGAAGAAACAATATCCTTTTCATCTTGATGTTTTCAGTCAGTATAATGGAAAGCTTTGATACTGGTCATGTTTACAGTTGTACCCTTGTAGTATGTGGTTTAAATACTTAAAGTCTAGTTTTGAAATGCTCTTTCCAGTTAACTCTCTCAAAATGCGTGAAATCTGGAAGTGAGATACTTGATGTTCTTGATTTTTAAAAATACCTCCGTGGTGACTGAGATGTTTTATGCCACTAAGGGATTTATAGTCTTTTGGGTTATATTATCACAGAGAGGAAGAAAGGGAACAGAGAGTCCCTAGGGCTGGAGACACTGGGAATAGAAGGGCAAAATGATGAGGCTGACAAGCAGAGCTGGTAGAGTTTGAGGCTACCAGGCTGGTCAGAGCCATTTCGGCCTGCAAGCTGAGGCGCTGTACTAAAAGGTGAGATGCTGTTCTTTCTGCCACTCCCAAAAGTTGTTTTCCCTTAATTTGTCATCTACTCATAAGTCCTCGGACAAGCACAGATAATGAAGACTTTCAATCAAGGTGAGTATTCTCTCACCACCTTTTCATTTAATGATAAAAACATAAAATGAAGTCTGATAATGTTGAAAAAACTAGATGCATTTTAAAAGCTACAAACACTTGGTTTTTTTCACTTAAATATAATGACCAAGTCTTTGGGTATAGATGCAAAACAAGATTCAGAGTTATTTTTAGGCTGTTTTCATTTTAAGCTTGCTGATTAGCCACACATTTTTTTTTTAAGCACCAAGATATATTTAAGAACATCTGGCTTTCTCTTCACTCATTCCCATCTTCTCTGGATAGTTAATTATGTGGCTAAAGTCCTTATAGCCTTGTAAATGTTGGTGATGATATCTGCATTTTATAGGTGAAGAAACAGACTCTGAGAGGTTAAGTTGAAGAGGGTCATAGAGATATTAGCCAACAGAGCCAACACTCAAACCTTGGTCTTTCTATCTTTTAGTGTTCTCTCTTCCTTTTGCTTTCTCATGCTGATGTGTTATCCAAAGACTTTTTTTTGTGTGTGTGCCATTTTTTTCTGCCACTGCCCATGTTTTACAAAGCCAGAAAATATGGTTTGTGTTTTTAGTTAATGTGTAACTTTTTTTTTAAGGTAATGCGCTTATGCTTTATGTGAGACTTAAAAAATGTTTTACCCATTTTAAATAGCGTTTCCATTATGGTGGGTGCAGTTTTCAGACCCTAATATTTCCTTTTTTGAGCACGTATGATAATCTGAATACTTTACTGTTACTGTTTGGTGATGCCTTAGTATTATTGAAGTACCTAGGACAATTTGCCCCCTATATGTAATGGTTCCAAACAGCTGTATTTTGAAGCTACTATCTCTGCTTTTTTTATGGCCATTTTCTTCCTTCCATGTTAGCCATCATTTCATATATTAACTATACTTGCTTGTATATACCTTCCCCTAATATTATTGGGTGCTTCTAATCTTTTACAAGACCAGATAGATAACCAAGGATATTTACCAGTGTTTAAATTATAAGCGAGAGATGTCTGAGAGCCAGTTCTGTATAAGGGTATGGATTTCCTCATCTTTATTTTGGCTGCAAAGCAGGGATTTGAGAGGTTGCCATATAGTCAACACCTGATGAATGGTGTGCTTTTCCTGCTTTTTCGGTGCTTGTTAGAAAGTAGGGCAAATAAGTTATTAAAGAACATTTAGAATTTAAAAGGAAATATTATTGCTAATTCTTCAATTCTAGCTGTTCCTACCCCCATTTCAACCTTGACAACTATCTTCTCTGATGAGCTATAAACTCTTAATCCTCATCTTAATGTTTCTTTTAACCTGGCATTTGCTGTCACATGTGGTCTCCCTATTAAAAGAAAAACAAAAAGCTTACCTCTCCTATCTGCATTAGGAATTAGCCAGCCATTGTCACTGACAACTTTCACAGTGATTTTATATATCTCTCTTTACTCAGTACCTAAATATTATTATTTTGTATATGAAGGTTATGCTACAGTTTTGAGTTTTTCTTACATTGACCATGAATTTGTATTTTACCTCTCTTTATAATCTCTTAGGAGCAAAGGGATGACAAGACTGTCCAGGGTTAGATATGGTCTTACAGCAAAGCTTCTAGATTCAGATGTCCTTTTAAAAGTACATCTAGCTGGATGCCCATCCTGTTGAATTCCTCATTGACAGCTTTGTACAATACTTTCTTCATGGATAGACTCTTAATTTTGTGAGACTCTGGTTGATGTTTCTTTGTTTCTTTCTTTCTTTTGAGACAAGGAAGTCTCGCTCTTTTGCCCAGGCTGGAGTGTAATGGCGCGATCTCGGCTCACTACAACCTCCGCCTTCCGGGTTTAAGACATTCTCCTGCCTCAGCCTCTCGAGTAGCTGGGATTATAGGCATGCAACACCATGCCTGGCCAATTTTTGTATTTTTAGTAGAGCTGGGGTTTCACCATGTTGGCCAGACTGGTCTTGAACTCCTAACCTCAGGTGATCTGCCTGACTTGGCCTCCCAAAGTGCTGGGATTACAGGTGTGAGCCACTGTGCTAGGCCATCTGGCTGATAGTTTTTTGTTTTGTTTTTGTTTGTTTGTTTGTTTTGAGACAGAGTCTTGCACTGTCGCCCAAGCTAGAGTGCAGTGGCACGATATCGGCTCACTACAGTCCCCGCCTCCTGGGTTCAAGCAATTCTCCTGCCTCAGCTTCCTGAGTAGCTGGAAATACAGGTGTGCAACACCACGCCCAGCTAATTGTTTTTGTATTTTTAGTAGAGATGGAGTTTCACCATGTTGGCCAGGAGGGTCTCGATCCCTTGACCTTGTGATCAGCCCGCCTTGGCCTCCCAAAGTGATGGAATTACATCCGTGAGCCACTGTGCCTGGCCTTTTTCTCTTTTTTTTTGAGATGGAGTTTTGCTCTGCCACCCAGGCTGGAGTGCAGTGGCGCAATCTCGGCTCACTACAACCTTTACCTCCCGGGTTCAAGTGATTCTCCTACCTCAGCCTCTGTAGTAGCTGGGACTATGTCCAGCTAATTTTTGTATGTTTTATAGAGATGGGGTTTTGCCATGTTGCCCAGTCTGGTCTCGAACTCCTGACCTCAGGTGATCCTTGGCCTCCCAAAGTTCTGGCATTACAGGCATGAGCCACTGTGCCCGGCCAATAGTTTCTTTCAAAAAAATATATTGTAAATAGAGATGGGGTTTTAGCATGTTGCCCAGGCTGGTCTGAAACTCCTGGACTCAAGCCGTCTGCCTACCTTGGCTTCCCAATGTGCTGGGATTATAGGGATGAGCCACCATCCCTGGCTGATAGTTTCTTTTTCTGGCTGTTGACTGCCACTTTCTATTTGGATACATTCCAGGGTTGGTCAGGTCTTTTTTTCTTCCTTTTCTTTTAGAATGTTATCATTTCTGATTGGAACCATCTATTTACAGGCTACTTTGAAATCTGCTGCCCTCCCCCACTCACCTTTTAATTTGTTCTATAGAAAGGACAGCTCCTACATATGTCATATTTCCATGATTGAAAGATGTCATTACTTGTAAGATTTCATCATTGTTTTTAGGACAGTTATTTTTAGGCGGGTTGGTAGAAAAATGACACTGATTTGTAAGTGTCATCCTGATTTTCACAAATGTTAAAATAATCACATTAGAATTAAGATACAAGGCCAAGCATGGTTGCTCATGCCTGTAGTCCTAACATTAGGAGGCTGAGGCAGGAGGATTGCTTGAGGCCAGGAATTTGAGATCAGCCTGGGCAACATAGCAAGACCCCATTTCTAACAAAAAATATATATATGCAACTTAGCTAGGCATGGGTAGTATACACCTGTCGTCCCAGCTCCTTGGGAGTCTGAGGCAGGAGATTTTCCTGAGTGGAGGAGTTCAAGGCTGCAGTGAGCCATGATTATACCACTGCACTCCAGCATGGGTGACAGAGCAAGACTCTGTCTCTTAAGAAAACAATTAAGAAGATACTGTATATAAGTATGACCATAATTAAATTCCTTCCAGTCTTCTGTCATCTTCTGTTGTTTCCTATTTTTGGTCACAAACCTCTGTTCCTTGTATGCATCTTCTGTTGCCCTTAAAGTCCTTGTCCAAATTCGTCTTACTTCTCCTTGATTTAGTCTCTTGAAGATTACTAGTTCCTTTCCCTTTAACTTTTTCTTAATTCCTGTTTATAAAATTGTCCTCTGAGAACCACCCTTTGGCTTCTCAATTTTTATTTGATATATGTGATCCTCAACTCAGGGATGTTGAGTTCAGCAAACTTTTGGAAGTCCTTTTGTGAATCAAATGCTATGCTAAGCTGACATTTGCTCCCAGGCCTTGAGATGCTCAAATCTCCTTGTTTTTTATTAATTTGGATGTAGGGCTTTGATTTTAAAGAACATTAGTAGCTAGCACTACTTATAATCTGTAATTTAATCTACTACATTTCTATTCTAATCCTTCATTCCAAGAAGGCTACATATATTTTGCAGATCCATTCCTTCCAGTCTCACATGTTTAACCTAATTTTTATCCTCTAAATCCAAGGTTGCAAATTGTCAGCCCTTGGGCAGAATGTTTGGCTTGTTAAATGTACTTCCTTATTTTATTTTTCAGGCAGAGTCTCGCTCTGTTGCCCAGGCTGGAGTACAGTGGTGCAGTCTGGCTCACTGCAACCTCTGCTTCCCAGGTTCAAGCAATTCTCATGCCCTAGCCTCTCAGATAGCTGGGATTACAGGCATGTGCCACCATGCCTGGCTAATTTTTTTGTATTTTCAGTAGAGATGATAGGGTTTTGCCATGTTGGCCAGGCTGGTCTCAAACTCCTGACCTCCAGTGAACCGCCCTCCTTGGCCTTCAGAAATGCTGGGATTATAGGTGTGAGCCACTGCGCCCGACCTCTTTTATTTTTATTTTTTGTAGAGATGAGATCTCACTATATTGCTCAGGCTGGTATTGAACTCATGGGCTCAAGTAATCCTCCTGCTTCTGCCTCTCAAAGTGGTGGGATTACAGATGTGAGCCACCACGGCCAGCCAAATGCACTTTCTTAACCTCACACAATGTTTAAAATTTTTTAAAATCTGTTTCTTTTAAAAATCAGAATTGACAAAAATCCAAATTTCAGTTTCTCTCGAAGGATTGGAACATGTGGTAACATTGTGTCCTGATTTCAGCTAGATTTGTCTAGGTGCTGCCCCCCTTTAGAATAGAACAAGGGTCTTTTTTTAGACAGTTCATCTCAGTCAGTCCCCACTCAACTCATTTCCTTAGTTTTCATTACATTCTTGGCCTCTGTCAACAATTGATTTTATAATTCCAGCTCTAAGCCTTTTTTTTTCTCCTTCAGTTCATACTTGACCTCCTAAGCTCCTGAAGATTTCTTATTTTAGGAATGCACTGCCATTTTGAGGCTTATTCCTATTTGTTGATGATAGGTATTGGGATAGGGTGAGGGATATGGAACTCATCAATGTTCACACTGATTTCAGAGAAACATTTAATATCTCTGTATTGACTTGTTTGCCACCAAACACACCATTTTATAAAGGGAAACCCATACTGATTAAAAGAGCTTGCTTTATATGCTGTGGCATATTTTTTGAGGGCAGATTTAATATGCTTTCGTTTTGGTCTGTATGTCGTAACCATTAACTGTATACTAGACTCTTGTTAGGAGCTCGAAATGACAGACACAAATCATTTTTCTCTTCAGTAGTGTCTTTTATACTTTAAAAAAAGTACTGAGTATAGGTTTTGTGCACTGATATTCATAGGCACCAAACAGTTGAAAAGAGCAGGAGAAATTTTCTATTTCCTTGCTTTTCTGCTTAATATAGAGCAAATATTCATTTATATTGTGTTTTTTAAAATCTTAACATAGGCATGAGCACTTATAAAAGGCTTCCATGCAACATTTGCCCTGAGTGTGTCTTTCCCCTACACACGTAATTATCCTGAGAAGCATCCTTGGGTGCAGTTAGGATTCAGCTCAACAGGATCCGCGTTTTAACTCTGTGTTACATTTTATCCACATGGAACATCTTAGGAACTGTGTTTGCTATAAGAATTCCTAGGTTGCAGTATAAGGGTAAATGAAGGAGTAAAGTGGATTTAGGATGGCTGTCCCTGTGTCTTTCTCTTCATAACTTCTTTCTTCCTTATAAATATTTGTTTAAAAGTTGTTTGGTTACCATCAAAAGGGCTCCTTTATGAAGAATCTATGTAAACTACTGAAACATTTCTTAGGACCTTTTTGGTGAATTTGATCATAAAATTAAAACGTGTGTATGTGTTTTATAAAGGCATACCTCTGATAAGACTGATTTTATATTTGCCTTTTCTTCTCGACTTTGATCACCAGCCTAGCTGTTCTTTTTCTCTAAACCACCTTACTTTTCAGACTTGATTCTTGCTGTCACAGCTCTCTATAATGTCAGTTAAAATCAGCTGCCTCCACTCTTTGAGGATTTTTGTGCATAGGACGGCATGGTGAAACATAGGGAAATGATAGTCTTACTAATACAACAGGATCAATCTCTGGCCAAAAAAAAGGAAAAAGACAAACTTAGAAGGTCCTAATAATTACTAGTATAAAACAATGTTCACAAATATAATCTTGTCTCAGCAGAGTAGGAAGGCTATCTTCTGTTTTCTGCTGTGATGTGTCCTACAAGTGTGGTATTACCAGTACAGTTTATAGCACCAATAGATGTCTGTGATGGAGGACAGCAGACTATGAACTGAGCCTGGACTAGAAAGTTTCTGAGAAACAGCAACAGTCCTAGATGTGAAAAAGATAGATCTGTATGATCCCTTATATTTAAAACGTATACTTTCTTACTTACAATGGTTAAAGCAGCACATATTTTTAAAAAATAGCTAATAAAACACTTGAGAATGTTGCAGGTATTGTGGTATATATGTTAATGAGAAGAAAAATATTGCTCTGCTGAAAACAGGGTCCTGAAGGCTGAGTTTGGCACTGTTTCATCACTGTGCAACTTTCTTCTTGATGGCAGCTAACTCTTTCTGAAGTTCAGTAAATTTGGGGCCGGTTTTCAAGTTTGTAATCCTAACACCTCAGCATTATTTTATTAAAATACTCTCTGGACGCTGCCAAGAGATTGACATCCAGTATCTTCTTTACACTTGCTCTTGAGCTTGCTGATTTGTCATTCCAGGCTATGGACAGACCCCCCCCTAAGCTGAAAGTCTCCCAGAGGAGGATGCCAAAGCTCCGTGCGTCACTCTCAGAACGATATCTCCCATAATTAAGAGCTTCTGGTGCTGTCCATTTAATGGGAATCTGCTTTAAGTCAGAAGATGAATACACACCACCATCCTCTTGACGAGACATTCCAAAGTCACTGATTTTCAGAACATTATTTTCACCTCCAGGCAGTTTCTTGCAGCAAGGTCCCTGTGTGTACAATTTCTACTCGAGATACATCATCCAGAAGCAGCATCTAATGAAAATTTCACTAACTGAATTTTAGTTCATTCTTCTTTCTCAGAAAGGAGAGGAAATCGCCTCCTGGAACCAGTTCCTTAAATTATGTAGATAGGCCGTCTTTGTGTGCGAACTCCTATACAGTTGACAATACTGGGATGATAATATTGCTTGAGGATTTTGGCTTCTAGTAAACATTTTAATTTCACTTCCTGGGAAAGATGTTCTTTACATGTTTTAACAGCAACAGCAATTTTCCCTTTAATGTTCCCTTAAATGTGTCACCAAAATTTCCCTTGCCAAGTAATTCTTCTAATGTGACATCTTTATGATTGAGAACCCATTTCTTATTCTCCTAATTATGGCGATACTGTGATAATGATGCTCTTAATTGGAACATTGACCTTTTTTTTTTTTTTTTGGCAATTTAAACAATAGAGATGAAATTCGTGTAACATCAAATTTGCCTTTTTTTGTTTTTTTGAAACAGAGTCTTGTTCTTGTCGCCAAGGCTGGAGTGCAGTGGCGTGATCTTGGCTCACTGCAGCCTCCGCCTCTTGGGTTCAAGCAATTCTCCTTTCTCAACCTCCTGAGTAGATGGGATTACAGGCTTGCACCACCACACCTGGCTAATTTTTGTATTTTTAGTAGAGATGGGGTTTCACCATGTTGGCCAGGATGGTCTCGATCTCCTGACCTCATAATCCACCTGCCTCAGCCTCCCAAAGTGCTGGGATTACAGGTGTGAGCCACTGGCCTCAGATTTGCCATTTTAAAGTGTACTCTTCAGTGATTTTTAGTATATCCACTATGTTGTGCAAGGATCACTGCTGTCTATTTCCAGAACGTTTCTATCACCCTAAAAAGAAACTCTCTGCCTATTAGCAGTCGCTCCCAATTCTTCCTTTCCCCAGCCCCTGGAAATCAATAATGTGCTTCCTGTCCTTATGATTTTGCCTGTTTTGGACACTTCATTTAAATGGAATCATGCAATAATCTGTAGCCTTTGTGTTTGGCTTTCACTTAGCATCATGTTCTCAAGGTTCATCCATGCCATAGCATCTATCAGTACTCCATTCCTTTTTATTGTGAAATGATGTTTCATTGTATGAGTGTGTATCACTTTTTATTTATCCATTCATCAATTAATGGACAGGAACAATGGCTTTTAAGTATTGTAAGTTCATCATGTATCCACAGTTACTGATAATGTCAAGATTATACATGGTGTGAACAGAATGCTGTGTAGAAATGATATGTAAATTATTTGTCAGCATTTCATGTAAGTGTGATGATTTTCTAAGGACCCTTCTAGCCCTGGTTTTAAGAAATATGTGAATGTAGTATTTTCATCAATAAAGTTTAATGCATTAAGCATTAGTTTAAAATTTGAAGGCAGATGTGAAGATATTTGCCACATGTTGTAATAATCATGTTTTGAAGTTATTTCACTATGAAGTATTTGAAAAATGTCAATACATAAAGGAAAGGAAATGATTATAATTGAGTCAATATATTTTTAAAGCAATTTTTATAATTTAGCAGACATTGCATCTTAATATAAGTTACTATTAAAATTGTGTCCTTGTGAAAAATGTGATGTCATTTTTCTTTTTTTGTTGATCATGTAAAATAGTTACTTTTCTTTGCTGTATTTTCTGTTTACTTTTGATAAGCTATTGCTTGCCTCTGTGGAATGTTTTACTTGTTGTTCCATTTTTTTTCTCCCTACCCCCACTTCTCTCTCCAACATGCACACAGTGTTCAATTTTTCTTTAAGTCATCATTAGTGTGCTTATCTTTAATGGTTTCTAAGAATGGACAATGAGAAACACAAATATTTTCTCCTTTACTGGGGACTCAAGTCTTTGTTACTGATGCAACCCATTAACTTTTCTTTCTTTATTAAATGTTCCTCCTCCCTCCCTCCTTTCATTGTCCTTCCCTCCTTCCTTTTCCCTTCCTTTTCTACTACCTCCTTTGACCAACCCTCTCTCCCCTACTCCCTCCTTTCCTTCCTTCCTTCTTCTCTATCAATATAATCACTTTGTTTCTTTCAGGTGAGATTGGAGTGTTCAGCTGTGACCAGAAATTTATTTTCCTGAGTAAATTGCCAAGAATTAAGAATGAAGAGGGCCATTTGCATCTCCTTAAATTATTCAGTTATCTGCTTTATTGCTCCATGTGGAAAACTTAAAATTAAGTTGTGCATTTCTGTATTTTCACCTGTTGTTTAGTTTCTACATGTTTATTTTCAGTAATGGCTGAAAGTGTTAATTGTTCCATATTTTTAGCACAATGTGCTGCATACAGTTTCCAACAAACAAATAAGGTTACCTGTGTACAGAGTTCTACCTTAGGTGAACTAAATACTGCCTGGGTTCAGCTTTTATTTCCATTCTGAAATGCTTCCATTTTATTGTTTGAAACTGAAAATAAACAATTATTGAACCATTTTGACCTCATTTTAAAACTCAGTTTTAATTTATTATTTGGCTTATTCTTAATATTAGTCACTAAAAACAGTGGGAGCATTGTCTTATGAAATGCTTAGGAATCATTTTATATAGTACATGTACAACATTAAAACCTGTTTAAAAAAGAAAAAGGTACCAGCACTCACTTGTCCCTTGCCATTTTTTCTTGTAATTATGTTAGACAAATCTTGGGGCGGGGGGATCAAAAGATAATTGTTTTAATTCTACAGCTATAGGAGCTTTGTATTGCTGAACTTTGGTCTGGCAAAGTTTCACAGTGACATTTTTAAAAGAGAATTTTTTTATCTACTGAATTCTACCAGTGTAACCTTTTTTCTAAATAAACAATAGTTTTCTCAAATGATTGTATATTATTGTGTATATTGTTGCTTATTCAAAATAACTGATTTTGGCAAAGATAATTCATTAAGGTTTCTAGTCTTTCTCAGTTCCTAGTCCGAGGGCTACATTATTTTCTAATGACATATCATCCAATAACAGGAAAATATCCTATTTGATTACCTCTGTAGTTGGAGTAAACAGTGGACTGATACCATGCCTGGATTTGTCCATTTAGTCTTCAGTTACTTGGAAATGATACCTATGCAAATTAAAATTTTCAGAGAATGACAAAAAGTTTACAGTTTTTTAAAGAATTGAGAAATGTCGAATATATTTTAAATGAATTGGCAAAAGGGTGTAAATCTTGATGTCTCTTTTCAGGTAATTGTAATTTGCAAAAATCGGTGAGCAGAGTATTTATGGGAGGGTGATCTATTCAGTGACCGTTGGGTGCTTATAATGTGCCTGGCATAAAAAGAGATGTTTGTTAGAGGGATTTTTGACTTTGAGAAAATAACTATGGCTTACCTCAAATAATTTGTCTCAAAGATACCAGGAAGAACTTTCCAGTTGTTAAATATGCATTCATATTTGAAAGATTACATGATTAATTTTGAACTAGAAACCTTACCACTAATAAGATAGCATCAATATGTCTTCTCCCTGTTGCCCCAAATCACTGAACACAGGTAATCAGTTCTGGCCTTGCTAGAAATGCATTGATTATGGAAAATATGATTTTTGGATTAACTGTGTAAAGGTAATTTATGTTGCAAGTAGGAAATCTGTATTTGTATAGTGCTAGCTATTTTAGCTATCTACTGTGTTCTAGGTTCAAAGAAGTATAAGACCTGTCCCAAAAGTGCTTCCAATCTAGTTTGGAAAATAAGGACCAAATGAATGGTCTGGGGGTCCAGCAAACTTTTTTTGTAAAGGGCCAGATAGTAAATATTTGTGGCCTTGCAGGCCATGTGGTTCCCATTGCAACTACTAAGCTCTGCCATTGTAGTCTGGATGCAGTTATAAATAATATGTAAGTGAATAAGCATGGCTGAGTTCATTAAAAGTTTATTTACAATAACAAGTGGAAGACTAGATTTGGCCTGCAGGCTATCGTTTGCCAACCCCTTCTATGAAGAGTAGAGAGTTCTATAGAGTATTCATTAAAAAATATTTGAGGGTGGGAGGGGTGAGGGATAAAAGACTACACATTGGGTACAGTGCACACTGCTTGGGTGATGGGTGCACCGAAATCTCAGAAATCATCACTAAATAAGTAACTAAACACCACCTGTTCCTCAAAAACCTATTGAAATATTTGAGTGCCTCTTACGCATTACAGGTACAGCCATGAGCAAAACAAACCCCTGCCCTCATGGAACTTCCATTCTAGTCAGTTGAGACAGACAACAAACAATGTTACTTGGAGGGAGGTCCTCCGAGGAAGAGTAAACCTGAATAAGGACACTGGGGTGAGGCCAAATTTACTACTGATTACACAGTGACTATGGAGTGAAGATGAGTGAAGCAGGACATTTTGAGGCAGTTATCACAGTACAGATATTTTATTACCAAATAATGTGTCTGTGATTCCCAACCCATCTTTACATGAAAGTAATATTCAGGATCTCTCTCCCTCCTTCCCTCCCTCTCTCCCTCTCTCTCTCTCTCTCTCTCTCTCTCTCTCTCTTGTTCTCGTGGGTGGCATCTCAGCTTGCCATTTTCTAGAAAGGAGTTCTTGACTAAAGGCTCATGGATGAGCTTGGTGGGTATTTATGGGCCTTCCAGAATCCTAGAAATTGGATACACGTTTGTGTTATGTACACTTTTCTGAGTCTATGGTTTTTGCCAGATACTTAAGAAAATAGGCCTAAGGTAATAAGTTTGTTTTTCCAGGTCCTGCTCCAAAGGTGCCTGAGACCTTTATAACTAACCCTGAATCTTTGGGGGGCTGCTGAGAAGGTAGAAGACAGTGGTCTGTCTACCTTGGATTAAATGGTAGGGGCTAAAGTTAGAGCAACCTTCTTTGCCTTGGCAAATGATCTACAAGGGATTTGTAATTTGTTGGAAAGTAACTGGTCCATGGTATAGGGCCATTTTCTCTTGTGAGGAGGTACTTTAGCCAAGGATGGGCAGACATCCTAGTAGCCTTTTTTTTTTTTTTTTGACAATTATGTAGTTGATTTATTTCTACACCACTATAATCTAAAAAGGATTTATGAGAAAACAGTACAGTATCTTTAAATGAATAAAAAATTTGTTTCTGGATGAAATTAATAACCTAAATGAAGCTAATACCCCAAAATGTTGTGTACAAGTGGGCCATGGAGAAACTGGCAGGCAACAAAGAGAAGGTAATGTAATTAGTTATAAGACATAGTGTCCATTAAATATAAAGCTAGTTGCCATGGAGAAGAATGTTTACTGACACCAAGGCCTGAAAAAAACTGTGTTCACAAGGCAGTCAGGTCTTTTCAGTGGATAAAACAAAGGAATGTATCTTGTGAAAGGTCTTGAGTATTACCTGATGACCAACACCTTAGTTCATTCTAGTAAGGATATTTTTACAATGACACTGGAACATGCGGTCTATGGATGCATATCTCTTATTTGTTTGAGTCCAGGAAAACATTTTTAAATGTTTGGGATGACAGGGTTTGTAAACTAAGATTTATTATAGCCTTGTTTTTTAAGTATGTTTGTAAAGATTAGGAAACTCATGCGACTGTTGTTTGGTTCCCATGATACAAGAAATGTGAACAAGACCTCTTTAAAAGCTTTGCCTGCCCTTTGTTTCATTTTTATGGATGGTGATATCTAAGGCTGCCTCTTAGGTAGAATGAAGCTTATAATACTGTAGCTGCTTAATATTCTATCTCATTACTTATATGAGTTTATGGTTTAAATGTTTAATTTTTTTTTTTTTGAAACAGGGTTTCACTGTCACCCAGGCTGGAGTGCAGTGGTGCGTGATCTTGGCTCACAGCAGTCTCCACCTCCCGGGCTCAAGCAATTCTCTTGTCTCAGCCTCCCGAATAGCTGGGATTACAGGCACATGCCACCAGGCGTGGGTAATTTTTTGTGTTTTCAGTAGACATGGGGTTTCACTATGTTGACCAGGTGGGTCTCGAACTCCTGACCTCAAATGGTCTGCCCACCTTATAAATGTTTAAGTTTTAAACATTGAAGTAGCATTTCTAGAGACATTATCTGTCAGGGCCAAGGAGATTTTATTAGGTCCAGAGTTGAGAATAGAAAGAGGAGCTGCTTAAAAGATGGTAATTCATGCTAATTGAACACAGGTTTTCTTCTGTTTATAGACACCAGTAGACCTGATAAGAACAACAAGAGGAAGGATATTGGAAGTAGTGTTTAAAGGAAGTGTGGCAATCTGAGAAAATAAACCTTATGTAAAAAAATCTGTTTTTGTTCCGGATTGGTAGGTACTGTTTTAAGCTGTAATGGCCACTTCTAAATGGATCAGGCTTAAAAAGCTTAATTCCTTTGATGTGTTGCTAAATGGATGTGGTTAATAGAGGAAGGAGAGGGAACAGAGATTATTCTGGTTGGGCACAGGGCACTTAAGCCTGAGAAATACATAATTGCAAATAAGAAATAGCCTTCATTTCAGGGATAGGAGCTAGAAAATGACCTGGCACTTAATCTCTAGCTTAGTCTGATCTCTGATTTTTGTTAGATGAGAGCTAGATGTCCTTGGGCTCGAGTATCAGAACAATAGAGAGCAATTATTACCTCTGTCCTCACAAAATTTTTTTATATTTTAACCAGAATGATACTGTACTTTGTTCAAGGCTTTCTTGATCCTAATTTCATGTGGTATGTAATAGTACTTGTCTCCTATTACATGTATCATTGTCGAAGAGCATTTATGAATTGTAATTGGATATGCCGTTGCTAGGCACTATTATGCAGCATCTTTTCTGCTTTCTGAAATAATTGATTCAAGACATCAATAAGACAAACGTGCTAGGCAAGAGAAAATATGTAAAACAAGTAAGGTATCCATACCACGTGCATCTGGGACCAGGTACATTTTAAGAGGTTGGCGAATACTTA